TTGAGTATATTTACTTTTGTTACAAATGCCTTTATAGTCTATTAAAAGTTTAGTTACCATTGGAAATTGGAAGATTGAAATGCTTCAGTTTGCATCTTCTCTGTAGTTCATGTTGCTCTTGTTCTTAGTCTGTTCTCTACATTCTGTTCTTTGTGTTTCCCCTTGGCATACTTTTGTGCATGGTCTTGTGGGTGGATTCTGGACCATCTGGTACTTCAGGACAGTTTAAAACGGATTTTGTTTACTCTATTTGAGCCATACTTTCTTGAAATGTCCTGGTATGTCTTTGTGCTTGGCACTTCTTCTCTTTTATATTGTCACTGCTTTCATGACTAATTTTTCCCTAACACATGAATTTTGGCAGTATCAAGTATTTATGGATTAAGTTGATCAAGACTTATTTTTTGTAGGCCTTTCCCCCAAATTCCTATAATAAAAACTCCACACTTGTGAATTCAAGGCCAGCCTGGTCTACAGAGTGAGTTCCAGGACAGCCAGGGCAACGCAGAGAACCTATCTTGAAAAACTGAAAAAACAAAACTTCACAAACTTCATTGTTTTGAGATGGTCGTTTTAAAAAATGGGGAATTGTTTGAAATTGTGAATAAAAACATCAAAATTATGATCCTCCTGCCTCAGCATCCCAAGTGCCAAAATTAGTCACTGTGGTGGTTAAAAAAAAAAAATTAGCCCCCAAAAGGTGGTGCTATTAAGAGGTGTGGCTTTGTTGGAGGAAGTGTGTCAATGTGGGGGCGGGTTTTGAGGTTTTGACTTCCTCTTGCCTCTGAGTCAAGATGTGGGACTCTCAGCTCCAGCACCACATCTGTCTGCATGCTTCCATGCCCTCTGCCAGGATGATAATGTACTGAACCTCTGAGACTGTAAGCAAGCCACCTCAATTAAATATTTTTATTTATAAAAGTTCTCATGGTCATGATTCTCTTCACAGCAATAAAAAAAAAACCCAAGACAGTCACATTGTTTTTCTTTTTTAGAGACTAGGCCTCTTGTAGCCCAGGCTGGTCTTGAACTTGCTTTATAGCTGAGGATGACCTTAAACTCCTGACCCTCCTTAGCTCCAAAGGGCTAGATAACATTACAGGTGTGTGCCACCATTGCTTTTCTGCTTGTCCTTTTGAAGTTGAAGAATCCTTTGCCAGATCTGAGATTATAAAGATATATCCCCAACACACTTTTTTTTTAAAAAAAAAAAAAAAAAAAAGACAGGTTTTACCTCAGGTTGGCCTGGAACTCAATAACTGTATAGACCAGGCTGGCCTCAGATTCACAGCAATCCATCTGGTTCTAACTCCTGAATGTTGTGATTAAAGACATGGCCTAGAGAGTGTTTTTTGTTTGTTTGCTTTTGCTTTTAAAAGAGCTTCATGTCTTAAATAGTTCCTTGATTGACGCGTTTTTAGGTAATGAAAAAGTTTGTGTGTGTGTGTGTGTGTGTGTGTGTGTGTGTGTGTGTAGATGTTGGTCGAAGGACAACTTGTGGGAATAGGTTTTTTCATTCCATTATATGGGTTCTAGGGATTGAACTCAAGTTGTAGGCTTAGGGAGAAGCACCCTTACCCTCTGAGCCATCTTTCTGGTTCTTTGAGTTAATTTTTATATAGGATGTGAAGGATCCCCTTTCATTCTTTTGCTTGTGTTGCAGTATCCCAGCACCATTTGTCAAATAATCTTGATGTCATTGTCAAAAAAACCATAGATGGATGAGTTTATTCTGAATTTATAATTCTGTTCAACTCAAAATGTTTGTCTATCCATGTACAGTGCAATGTTATCTTGAGAAATAATTGTTTTCTAGTGAATTTTGAAATTGAGATGTGTTTGACATCTAGCTTTGCATTTTCTTAATCAGAACTATTTTGGCTATTATGAATTCATTGAAACTCCATATAAACTTTAGTTAGAATCAGCATGTTCGTTTCTACAAAATATTGACTGGACTTCTCCTAGGGATTGCATTGAGTCTGTAGATGAGTTTGAAGAGTTTTGCCATCTTACCAATGTTAATACTTGTAATTCATTAATATAAGATGCTTTCTTATGTATGTATGCATTTATGTATATATGTATGTATAGTTTGCTTTAAGTATGATCATTTTTATATATTGGTTTTTATATCTTACAACTTTCATAACTTTGTTTTAATGAATTCTTTAGTACTTTGCTTTATAAAAGATCTTGTTTTCTGTGAATAGGGATAGTTTTACATCATCTAGTCTGGATACCATTTATTTCTTATTATTGTCTATATTCACTTGCTAGCCCCTCCCTTATAATAATGAAAAGATGTGGCAAGAACAGACATGATGTGCTAGTTTTGGGGGAAAACCATGTATGTATATAATACAGCCTTACACTTGAGCACCTACAGAGAGAAACTGAAAACAATATATGTATTTTTCACACTGTAATTTGCTTGTTGTGGAATATTAATTTAAGATTTGTTACATTTGTTTAGGTCTTGGAACATGTCTTTCTCTGTAAAGTTGTGTTGCTTTGCCTGTCTTGAATTCCTGATTGGTCTAATAAAGAGCTGAACAGCCAATAACAAGGCAGGAGGAAGGATAGGTGGGGCTGGCAGTCAGAGAGAATACAGAGAGAAATCTGGGAGAAACAGATTGAGGAGGAAGGGGACGCCAGGGGTCAGCCTCCTGGTTACACAGCAAGACATGAATAAGAAGTAAAGAAAGGTATACAGAAATAGAGAAAGATAGAAGGGGTGATTAAGTTAAGAAAAGCTGTTTAGAAGGCTGGCGGAGGAGGCCTTCCTACTCATGTGGTCTTTGTGACTTCCATCATGGCACACCATGGACAGGGATAGAAGGCGCAGAAGGTGATGGTGCAGCCCACCAACCTCATCTTCAGATACTTGCAAAATGGCTCTCAAGTTCAAGTCTGGCTGTATGAGCAAGTGAATATGCCGATAGAAGGTTGTGTTGGCTTTGCTGAGTACGTGAACCTCATTAGATTATGCAGAAGAGATTCACTCTAAAACAAAGTCAGGAAACAACTGGGTCAGATCATGCTGAAAGGAGATAATAATATTCTGCTCCAAAGTGTTCCCAGCTAGAGCCCATCAAACACTCAAGAAGTTGAAGAAGTACAGTGTTTTAAAGGTGTCTTCTGTTGGGAGCACAGTCTGAAACATTTATTCATATTGTTTTAGTGACCCTTATGTTATTAACAGGTGACAATAAATGTTGTGAGATTTATTGCTTTTATTACCAAAACAAAAAAAAAAAAAAGAAAAGAAAAACTGTCTAGAAATAAACCAAGCTAAGAAGGCTGGGCATTTAGAAAGAAATACGTCACTTGTCTGTATTTATTTGGGATCCTGAAAGAAGCAAAGAACAAAAGAGTAAAAAGTATTAAAACATATATAAAAAACATTGTGTCTAGTCACAAACGTGGAGGGGCAGAGCACTCCCATTTGGTTTAGTGTATCTGTGAGCATGCTCACATATCCCTAATATAGCATCCTTGAACTGCCAACCCTACTATTCATCACACATATGACTGCTGTACTTTATTATATTAAATTGAAGTTGTTTTTTTTTTTTTTGAAACAGAGTCTCATATAGCCCAGCCTGGCATTGAATACTCGGGAGACAGAGGCAGGCGGATCTCTGAGTTTGAGACCAGCCAGGGCTGTTACAGAGAGAAACCCTGTCTCAAAAAATCAAACCAAACAAAACAAGTAAAATATTTTGCTGGAGAAGCAGACACTACAGGATATGTGTACATATTTGGTATATACATAATATATCTTAACTATATATTGATTTCTAGACAATATTTCTAGACTTCAAACTGTGCTCATGTATTTCTACGCATGCCCTTCTTCCCTCACCCCTTAGTAAGTATTGTTAAATCTTTCTTAAATCATACCCTCATTTTTTGTCTTCATTGACATTTAGATCCTCAACTGAATCATTTGAAGTTATTCCCTAAGTTACCCCCATGTTCTTCCTGTCTTTACATAGACACACGTACAAATAATCACTCTTGAATATGTCTTCCTTTGTGTCCTCATTTCTTTAAATTAGATGGGGCCCTTTATAAATTTTCGTCTGCAAAATGTTAAACCGTTATTTCTGTTCATTACTTTGTGTGTGTGTGTGTGTGTGTGTTTGAGACATGATCTTGCTATATAGGTCAGACTCACCTCTAGTAGATATGCAAGGATGTGCCGCCATGTCCATACTTCTTCCTAGTTTGTACAGATGTAGCTGAACTTTGTTTATTGCAGGCACACATGTTGTCTCTAAGTAGAGTCACCCTCTTTTCCCCATACTTTTACGTTCCTGCCTTTGTGTCATCCCTTAAGCCTCTTAGATGCCCTTCTTTGTCCTGAACATTCTTCCATATTCCCGTACAGGCAACCCTGAGCTTTTGAGCATTGATATTCTTCAGCTGCCTTTCAAATGAGCTATTATGGTCATCAGTTGGACAAGGAGCCCTTTGAACTGTGGTGTGCAATGAGTGGCACTGCCTGCACATAAGCAATTCAGCTCTGATGACATCAGATCATCATCAGGACACCAGTTTGTGTGCCCCAGGTTGTTTGTTGTGGTGCCGTGGTCCAATTACGCCTTTTTACACACTAGACAAATACTTTCCTGTTGTACTGCATCCCTTTATTACTTTATTGAAGTAGATTTTGAATTGATTTTTAAGTACTGCTTGGGTAGAGGATAAACATTTTGAAGAGGGCTTTAAACTTACTTTTGTTTTGTATTGGGTTTTTGGGTAGAATTATGTATGAAAAAAAACCCTTAGATTCTTTCCTAAATTTTTGTGATTCTTTGACTGTGTTTATTCATTCTCCTCCTTGTCACCAAAGAAGAAAATATTTTCCCGCAGTGAAGGATGTTTTTTTATCTTTTTGTCTGTTTCTCAAATATCTTTTGAATGAATACCAAATGTATCACAAAGAATTATTGAATAAAATATAATTTATTTCTATTTATTGTTTATTTTAGTTGTCAAGTGGGAATCCTGTATATGAAAAATACTATAGACAGGTAAGATTTTTACTATATTTGTATCTGAATTAAGCATAAAATATGATATCAATTGTTGATTATATGCATGTAGATGAGGAGTCACTAGATAAATTTGTTGTGTCATGATTCAACATTTTGGGTTTAGCCTCTAACTTTGAGTAATTGATACTGTTTTGTTTTTGAGAGGTCCTGCTAGGTGGTCTCAACTGGCCTTTCAGTACGTAATCCTACCTCAGTCTCCTGAGTGTTAAGATTATAGGCACACACCAAAACTAGATAATAACACTCAGAAAAAATGAAAGAGAATTTAATTACCCTAAATATCCATGTTAAAAAATCTATAGAACATTAGATACATTCATTCAGATATAAATATCTTAGTTAATGTATAAGCCAAATAGAAATAACTTTTGTGTGTTATTTGTTTATTTATTTGGTGGTTTGGTTCTTGTTTCCTGTTTGGCCTGGAATTCACTATGTAATTCAATTTTGTGTTGGACTTGTTAGAGTTTTCCTGCCTCAGCCTCTAGTGCTGAGATTTTGGTGTTCATCATTTCACACATATTAAGTGAGCGTGGGGCTGAGGATGTAGTTCTTTGGTAGAAGGCATGTTCATCACACAAAGACCCTGGGTTTAAATCCCAGTACCAAAAAACAGACTAGCCAAACAAACAAGAAATGTATCAAGCATTTTGTTAATAAATTAGGGAAACATTCAGATATAAAATTAAGAATACAAAAATCGGGTATGATAATAATTGTTAATCCTAGCAGTTCAGGATCATCCTAAGTTACATAATGAGTTTGAGGCCAGTGTGAGCTATGTGATACCCAACCTCAGAAAGCATTGAAAATGAAAATATGAATTGTAGTGATTCATACTCAGCCAGAAAAAAATTTATTTGCATTTGTGTGGATAGGAATCATTTGCATTGCTAACAGTGCTCTGTAATTTAATGTCTCGTTCTACAGTTTAAAAGTCTTATTAAAAAGCTAATCAGAAATAAATATATTTTAGACCAGATAATGTCCTGATGTTCTAAATGGTTTCATTGCTCATTTCTTTCTTTATCCTTTAAAAAAAAAAAATCTTGAGACATCTTTATGCACCCTAGGCTGGCCTTGAACTCACTCAGTAGCAGAATATGACCTTGAGCTTTCAGTCCTTTCTGCCTCTGCCTGCCAAATTCTGGGATTACAGGTGTGTGCCACCATGACCAGCTTCATTTTTGTGTATTTGATTGTTTTCACAGAACATTTGCGTAATTATAGAAAAGGGTGGTCTCATTTGGCTTGGTTGTCTACGTCATTTTAGCAAATACCAATTAGCCGATATAGAGATCCCTTTTGTTTTGACTTGCAAGTCTAGCACTGTGTACTACTTAGCAGCTTCTAAGTTGAATTCTTAAAAATTTGCAGAGTCTGGTTGTATTTTTTATTTGAAATTGTATATATACTTCTTAAGAGTGTGGTTCTTAAGAACCTATGTTGCTCAAACTGGTCTTGGATCAGGGCTCAAGTCATCCTGTCTCATCCTCATAAGTAGCTGGGGTTCTAAGTATATGCCAACATGTTCAGTTTGATTTATACTTCTTTAAGCTTTGTCTTTTTGAGATGAGCTTTCAGGATGGACTCAAACCCATGATGTAGTTGAGAATAGCTTTGTATTTCTGATCCTCTTCCTTTACTTCTCAAGTGCTGAGGTTATTGTGGACAACCATGCCAGTGTTGATTTTATTTTTTTGTTTTGTCTTAGAGACAGGGACTTGCTATGTAGTCAGACTTCCATTAAATTCTGAACCCTTCTTCCTCAACCTCCCCTGTGCTAGCATTGCAGGCACATACCACCATGCCTGTAATCTTTGTGGATGGGGTAGGGACAAGGTGGCATTGTAGTCCACCCTGGCCCCAGACTTGCTATGTGGCAGAAGTTGGCCTTGAACCTGCTGATCCTCCTACCTGTACCTTCGAAGTGCTAGGGCTACAAGTGCTTCCCACTCTGCCTGGCCTCATGCCTGGTTTTTTATTGAAATTTTAAACGTATTTGTTTGTTTTTCTGTCTTTAGGCTAGGATCTAAACCTTGGAAATTCTTTTCACCATATTTCTCGTTGTATAAATGAATTAGAACTGAGTTTTGCCCATGCTGAAGTTCTTAGTTAAAGTGTACTACCTGTGATGGTGGGACTTTATAAAACCAGATAGTAAGCCAATTTTCTTACCCTCCCCCCCGTGTGTGTTGTGTACATATGTGTGTATACTATGGAAGTTAAAGTGTCTTTACTCAGGTGCCCTCCACCTTTTATTTGAGACCAGGTCTCTTGCTGGCTGTGTCTTTGGCCAAATAGTCTAAGCTAGCTGGCTATTGAGCTCCTGGAATCCACCTGTTTCTGAATTGTAAGTTACCACCTACCTTATCCAGCCTTTTACTTGAGTTCTGGGCTTCCAAACTCAAATTCTCATGCTTTAAAGCATTCGGGGCATCCGAACTGGGGTGTTTGAATTCAGGTCCTACTTCTTGTAAGTGCTTTACTGACAGAGCCATCTCTTTCCCCCATGTTGGAGTTGTAGTGGGAGGCTGCTTGTTGGTTCCCAGCTGCTCTCTGCTTGTTTGTCCTGGCAGCTGAGAACCAAAACAATCACACAGAAACTGTATTAATTAAACCACTGCTTGGCCTGTTAGCTCTAGCTTCTTATTGGCTAACTCTTACTTATTAATTTAACCCATTTCTTTTAATCTGTGTATCGCCACATGGCTGTGGCTTATGGCTAAAGTTCCCAGCATCTGTCTCCAGTGACTCCATGGTGCCTCTCTGACTCCGCCCTCCTTTCTCCCAGTGTACAGCCTAGCTTTCCCCACCTAGTTCTGTTCTTCCGTGCCATAGGCTCAAAGCAGTTCTTTATTCATTAACCAATAAAAGCAACACATAGACAGAAGGACCTCCCACACCACCCCCATGCATGCACAGTCATTGTAGGAGAGGTTTATATAGATACTGACTCCACATCAAACTACTGTTCTTTACAGATAACTTGTTTTATCAGAATAAAAGAGAATTGTTCTTAAATATGAACTTGTGTTGTACACTCGACTAACTTATTTACAGCCTTTTAAAAAGCTGAAGAACTTGTTGAATCTTTGTGATTATATTGTCATAAAAAGTAGTCTTTCAGTAAAAATTATTTTTTGGTATTCTGATGAGTCAGAGAAATTGGGTTCTATTGGAAAGTGTTTTTTATTTAGTTTACAATAGTGTAGCCTACTGTATTGAGATAGCCTAAGAAGAAAAAGAATTTTTTTTTTTTACATTTTGAACTTGGGGTGTATATTACTGGTAGAATGCTTGTTAACATGAACAAAACCCTGGGTTCTGTCCCAAGCACTGGGAGGTGGGAGGTGAGGGTGAGTGAATGATGTTCTTATTCTGGTTTCCCAAGGCGGTTGTAGTAGTACACTCCTATGATCCTAGAACTTGGGGGGGGGGGAGGAGGATCATTCAGGATCATGTTCAGTTACACTGGAGTTTGTTACATGCTACATGCCTGGGTTACGTACATGAATAAGAGAATAGAACTTAAACCTAGGGTGTGATGTCTGTAACCTCACCACTCAGGAGACTGAGGCAGGAACGTCATAAATTTGAGGCTAGCCTGTGTTATACATTGAGACTTTGAAGAGTTGGTCCTGGTGGTGAAACTGTGATCCCAGCACTTGGGAAGTGGGGATGGAGGTAGGGTGTCAGGAGTTTAAGGCTAGCCTGGGCTATATGAGGTCTTGACTCTTGAAATAAGTTTTTTGTTTTTGTTTTTGTTTTTTTTTTTAAAAAAAGAATAGGGAAGAGGACTTGAGATGACTGCATGGGTAAAGCACTCATAACCCGAGTCAGTACCCCAAATTCATGGTACGGGGAGAGAACACACTCTTCAAAAGTTGTCCTCTGATCTCTACACACATATCATGTCCCTGCTCCCATCACACACACAGAGAAATAATTCAAAATTTTTCTTGATTTAAAAAGACCCCCCCATCCTCAAAAACAACAGAAAAAGAAGGGAAAAGAAGAAGGAAAAAAATAATGGAACTCTGTTGACATCAATTCTAGCTTGTAGTTTATAGCAGAGCCTTTTGCAGGAATTAGAGGACTGTAGAAACATCCTGTAGGTGAATGTAAATGGAAGTTTTTAATTTGTTATTGTGATTGCAAGAATTCCATACTAGGATACAGCATGTAAATACGTAATGAATTCAGTCTATGTTTACTTTGAGTGTATTGATATGTAGGTAATGCTGGGCGTGAATGTTCCTTTCTTATCATGGTCAGGAAGTGGGTAAAGAAAAATAGTTCTGGAGAATTTTAGAGACATGTTTCCTTATACTTCTGTACTCCTTCTCCCCAAACTGAAGGATTAGGCAGGTTTTTTTTTTTTCTTTTTTCTTTTTTTTCTGAGTGCCTGATTTATCCTGTTCTTGCCTTTGAGAGAAGTTTTTTCCTCTTCATTCTGGGACTAGGCTATGTAAATGCTTCATGTGTTTACAGTAAATTTAGTCTTTTAACTAAACTAAAAACATAGCTACTTCATGCATATCCTATTTCCCATGGCTTTTAAGATTTACTTTTTATATTTACAAATAGAAGTTTAGGAAGTCTTTACAAAAACAAGTTTTTTTTTCTATCCTTTTGTTTGTTATGACCTCATTATGCCTTAAAGGATAAGTCCCCATCAGTCAAAATAATGTATTCCTCTTAATGTACTGTAGAAATGAAACAGTTTTTTTTTTAAGTTTGACATGACTTAAAGCTGATACTGCTTTGATATTTTTAAGTGTTTCAATTTTTAAGAGCAGATACAAAAGCAGAAGTTAATCTAAATCATGCTCAGCTATCCCAGTTCTCAGAAGACCTCTAAGAAATATTTTTTTCTTATATTGCCATTTAAATGACAATCATAAAAGTGTGGAATTAGATCTGTGTTCATGTTCCAATTCTACTTACTTGCTTTTCCATGAACTTGTTTCTTTGCTTGTATAATAGACATGATAAACTTATTTTGCAAATTGACTCCTGTTTGGATGATACCATTCTTAGAAGACTCTGAAGAGGTCTTGCTCTTGTTAGCAGAAGGATTCTGATTCCAATTCATGAATTAGGGAGGAGACATGGAAAGTGATACAATTTTGATTTTGTGTTTTACTGTCAGCTTCCTGTTTTTCTTTTCAGGTTGACACAGGCAATACTGGAAGGGTGTTGGCTTCAGATGCTGCTGCATTCCTGAAAAAATCAGGGCTTCCAGCCTTGATTCTCGGAAAGGTAGGATGTGCTTATTATAACTAGACTGTAATGAATATGGAGAAGCATAATAGAACTGCAAATAAATTCAGAAGGTTGCAATCAAGAAACATTCAAATTAGAACTGAGTCATAGGAGCAGTTGTGGTAATGGAATGGGGTTGTGGTGTAGTGATTTATCCTTTTGAAAATTAAAGCGATGCCAGCTTTTCCTGATGGGAGAGCTGTTCCTTTCCCCCACAAGCTGCAACACTCTAGAGAGCAGCCCTGCACCTTGCCTGGACAGCCCCATTGGTGGAGGTCTGAGTGAGCCAGCCCCTAAGTTGTGAGCATGGGAGTGTTGTCCCCATTACTCATCTGTCATGTGGTAGCATGGGCAGCGAAGATACTCTCCCCCACTCCCACCCTCAACCCCACCCCCACCCCAACCCCTCAACAACTGAGGCAGGTGGGAGAGCTGGCCCTGAGGTCATAAGAGCTGGAGAGCTGTCTCTACCACTCACTCAGAGAGTGACCCCTACACCATGCTTGGACAGCACAGTAGAGCTGGTCCTGAAGGTGTAAGTGTGGGAGAAGAGACTCTGAAGATGTGAAAATGGGAGAACTGGCCCTTCCTCTCGCTCACCCCTTCTAGGGATGAACTAGCCAGGCCATGCTGGAAAGCTCACTCTGGTGGTGAGGCAAGGGAGAGCTGGAAGGCTGACCAACCCTGCAACTACCCAGGCCCAGAACCAGGGATATGAGTTAGCCCACTCCAACATCCACCCCATCTGTGATCTGCTGGAGCACATGAAGGGACCAGTCCCGCAGACCCAAAGCTGCAGGATTTCCACAACACAGGGCAACAGCAGGATAACTAAGAGGAGCTCCAGTGAGGGCCCAGCATTGAGAGTGTAGCAAGAACCAGAGACCTCGAACCAGACCAATGACTCTTTGCAGTGCACACTTACAAGTAAAATATGAACAAAAGGGTTTACTGTGTGAGTTGCTGTGTCACAACTGCAGCTTCCCTGTCGAAATTGTTTTTTTCTCTTAAAATTTTGTTTTATTTTATTTGATGGGGAGAGTTGCAAGGGCACAGGGAAGATACTAAGGAATAGGGAAAGAAATAGGATAGAGATGTGTGATGTGAAGGACAAAGCATAGCTAAAAAAGAAATAAAGGTAATTTTGAGCATTTTAGAAACATCACTTTTGACTAGGATGAAATGAGAAAGTAATTGTACATTTGTGTATTGTGGGGAGGTGCAGTGAAGAGTAGGAACCTTGCTATCCACTCAGACAGTTGGACCTATCCTTGTTTCCTCAATAAAACTGCCTCTGTTTAATGTACAAAGCAGAGTTAGGGATTGAAAAGAACAGAGGTGGAAAGCTCCTCTCTTGCTAAATTGTTATGCATGATATTGATATATAATAAAAGTCTTTAAAAATAATATTAATAGTTTCATAACTCATAGAAAAACTAACTTGTAGATACAAGTTTCTGTCCTTCCTAGTCCCTCAGCTGTTCAGTCCCAAAGAAACACACAGAGGTTTATATTAATTATAAGCTATTTGGCTCGGGCTTATTATCAACTAGCTTTTACAACTTAAATTAACCCATATTTCTTATATAAGTTTAGCCATGTGGCTTGGTACCTTTTCTCAGTGAGGCATTCTCATCTTGCTTCCTCTGCTTTTAGCTTATGACTGTGTCTCTACTTTTCCTCTTCCCAGAATTTTCCTAGTCTGGTCGTCCGGCATATACTTCCTGCTTGGCTAATGGCCAATCAGTGTTTTATTAAAACAATATGAGTGACAAATCTTTAAAGTGTACAAGAACATTATTCCACAGCATTAACTAACCATCCATAGGGAAAAAAATTACCTTAATAAGAATCAAAACCAGGGTAGTATGTTTCAGTGGACAATAGTTAAACCCTGGGCTAGTGAAAAGGACATTTGACTAGAGGTTGGAACTTGTATTCAATTTTCCCCTCATTCCTTTAATGTTCTTAAGCCAGATTTCCTAACCTGGGTCTTCATGTCTTTGTTAAAGGGTTGCACTGAATAATTTCTAATGATTTTTAGATCTGTTTACACAGATCATGAAGTTATTAGTTACAGGGATTTAATTTATCTTTTAAAGATTTTTGTTAAAATATATAGAGATTGATTCTTTTTTCCTGTTAATATTTCAGATTTGGGATTTAGCTGATACAGATGGCAAAGGTGTCCTGAGCAAACAAGTAAGATTGAGAGATTCTTCTAAAGTTTTTGTGGGCTTGGTCCAATTTGAAGTAAAAAGTAGCAGATTTTTTTATGTTTAAGCTTAAAATTAGTTTTTCAAGATCATGTGTATTAACATTGAAAATATTTTTAACTACTGAACATTTAGCTATCTGAATGCTAAACTTTAGTAACATTGTTTTACTGAAGCTTTTATATAATACCTATATCTCTTACAGACTTTGTTCTTAGTATCTTATTAATTAAATTTCTTGAGAATACAAGATCATAAGTAAACATTGATTTTATTAGTAAGTGTTATTGTAGATAAGCCCAGACCTTTGAAAGGAGTCTTGGGCTAATCAAACCTAAATTCTTGTGTAGGTTTATTTCTGACATATCAACCGAAAAGTGGTGCACAGGAAGGAAGTACACTCTATAAATATGTGAAAGTGTTTGTTTATTGCCAAAGGTATTGAATACCATGTATATACTCTAATGTTTGGTGTGTTGGAAGTTTGCTATCTTCATACTCTTGTTTAGCACTACTGTGTAAAGCTCATTTACCTTATAAGCATAGCTAAAACAAGGTCAAAAACAGAAAAGGAATGAGAATAATAAATAATGATAGAATCAAAATACCCAGCCTCTTTTATAGGAAAATTATGTGTATGGTTGTTTTGCCTGCATGTATGTGCATGTTTGTGTACCACATGTGTGCCTGGTGCCTGCAGGGGTCAGAAGAGGGCTTTGGATCTCCTGGACCTACAGGCAGTTGTAAACTGCATGTGAGTGCTAGGAATCAAACCCATGTTCTTCCAAGAGCAGCCAGTGCTTTTAATGACTGAGTCATCGCTCTTGAATACCCAGCCTCTTAATTAGGATTTCAGGACTAGATTGCTAGTAGTCCTCATCGGAGGTTCTGGATAGAAGGGCCAGTTCAAGACACTGAAGACAGGGGCCCTCTCGTATGGTCCACTCAGCAAGTGTTTGTTAAGAGCCAGACTTTAGAAGTGCAGAGGTGAATGTGACAGATGTAATTCCTCTTAGGAAATTTGTAGTATAGTAACTTCTTCACTGGTAGTGCTGGATGAGTTGTCTTTGTTGCATCCAGGCTGCTAGATATCTGGGTTTGCCATTGAAGTTTGAGTGTACATTGAAGGCAGTGTTTTGTTCTGGCTTTTTGAAAAAAGATTTGTGTTGACTCAGCGGTTACAGAAATTTCAGCTCACAGTCGTTTGCATGCTAAGTACACTGAACCATCCCCCCAGCCCAAAGATAATACTGTACTGAGAGTCTGTATGATAAAAATGACCCTTGGTGCTATCCACCTACAGAATAGTTTTATTTCATTGCTCCTAATACATTGCAAGGTAGATAGTATTAGACTATCCTCCTCTTAGGAAAGAATTTTATTTAAATTGCCTGTGGCATTGCAATTTTAAGTTAAGAGCTAGAATTTAATGAATTATTTTACTTCAGAGCTCATCTGCAGTGTGGAAATGGATCTGATTCTTTAAGAGTAGTTGAAGAGGGGCTGGAGAGATGGGTCAGAAGTTAAGAGCACTGGCTGCTCTCCCAGAGATCCTGAGTTCAATTCCCAGCAACTACGTTGTAGCTCACAACCATCTATAATGAGATCTGGTGCCCTCTTCTGGCTGTGTGTGTTGCTAGAGATAAAAACAAGGATCTCTCAAGTATGTGAGACAAATACTCGACCATTAAGTTACATTTCCAGTCCCAAGGGGAGTCTCTTGAAAAACTGCAAGAGGCAAGTATTGAATAAAGCAGATTGCTTGCAAGGTAAGAAAGGGTAAAAGAATAAGAAGAAATAGGTAAGAACGGGTTATATGAGAATGGGGCATGGTTAGAGTAAACTGTTGAATCAGTAACATTCCTGGGATGTTGAAAAACTGGAAAAAAATACTATTGGGACAAAACACCATTCTTGTGTCTATTTTCAAGCCTATCTTAGAACAACTGAAAACCAATAAATTGAGCTTCTTTACATGTGTTTACTTACTTAATTAGGCTTGAATTAAGACCTAAAGTACAAGGACCTTTGTGGAAGATTTTTAATTTTTGTGTTTGTTTGGGTTTCTCTGTGTATCCCTGGCTGTCCTGGAATTTGCTCTGTAGACCAAGCTGGTCTCAAACTCAGAGAGATCCTTCTGCCTCTGCCTCTGAGTGCTGGGATTAAAGGTGTATGGCACTGCACCTGGATGATTTGTAAATATCTTTAAGTCAAGCAGTTAAAATTGTTTTTGATGCTTGTTTTTCAGTTGTTTTCCTAGCTCCTCTGGAATAGCAGTGATTGACTCTTGTACTACTGATCCAATATCAAAATTACATGTCCACTTCAGAGTTGGCTTTTGATAACAGTTATTATCTCACTTTAATTTAGACCCCTTACCCAAAAGGCTTTTCAGTTAACAGCCAACATTTTTTAGTAAAATTGAATATTCTTTAAAATGTGAATATTCTGTACAGTTTCCATTTTTATATACCATGATTTATTTTTATTAAAATTACTTTTTGCTAATAATGTTAGAAAAATCATTATACATGTTTCTTTTCTCCATTTTAAAGCAATTTTTTAAAGCAAATGTTTTTGAAGCAAATATACTGTTATATTTGTTGGTACATAATACTGTGGAATAATTGTGCATTTTATATTTTCAGATCATAAAGTAGGTATAAAACAAGGTAGATTGGAAGAAAAGCACCTAACATTTATGCTTTTCTTTGTCAGGAATTCTTTATTGCTTTGCGACTTGTGGCATGTGCCCAGAATGGACTGGACGTTTCCCTGAGTAGCTTGAATCTGGCTGTTCCTCCACCAAGATTTGTAAGAAATGATTTTATATGTAAAATTTATTTAATTAGAAAGATTAGGGCTGGGAAGATGGTTCATTGGGTAAAGTGCTTGCCCCTGTAAGCATGAGAACTAGAGTTCAGGTCACTAGTGCCCATATTAAAGGCTGGCTAGGCATAGTGACCTGCCTGTCATCCCAGAATTCAGGAGGTGAGACGGGATTCTCCAGGGCATAGCTGGCACTAAACTAGTGGAATCAGTGGGCTCTGAGTCAAGGGAGAGATCCTACCTACAGAAGCACACACAGACACAAATTACAGTCATACTTAACAAAAAATTACACCACATGATTCAAAATAAAAAGTAACATACTCTTAATGCTTTAATCCCTATCACTTAGCCACCTGGCTTTCTTTCTTAGTAACTACTGCTATTACTAGTTATGTGTATGTACTTCAGAGTTATATGTGCATATAAAAGTACAAATATGTATTTCTTAATTTTCTAATGGTGGCATTCTATGTATTCGACTCCATACGCTTTAAAACGAATATATTTTAGACATAAGCTTTATTTAGTGTTTGCATGGTATTTCTTTGTTTATGTTTACTATAGTTTATATAAATTCCAATGTAGATACGTAGATTTTTTTAAGGAAAAATGCTGTGACAGATATTAATTTTGTTTATGACATACGCAGAAATGTAGTTACAGCATCTCAAAAGTGAAATTGTCTTTAAGAGTTTTTGTATGTATTTTACTTTTACCAGCAATTGGTTGGCTTGTCAGTTTCCTTGTGCTTTTGCTCACGTGCTGTTGTCAGATTATAGATCCTTGTCAGCTTGGTGGCAAATGGTATGTTAGTGTCTAGATTTCTCTTTTTAGCTTATAGGTAAGACTGATTAGTTTTTAAGGCACTGAATGGTTTTTATTCTGCTATGGGAATGTCTAATTCTAGATTGCGACTCTTTTTCTTGAGTGATTATTCTTTTTCTTACTGAATTCTAGAGTTTCTTTAAAAATTAGCAAGTTAAATCTTCATCCATATCATTTGCAAATACACTCTTTCAATTTGTTATTTATCTTTTACTGAATTATGTTTTAACCCCCATGATGAAATTGTTTTATGTAAACAAATTGCAAAGCTAAAACTTATTTTTTTCTTTTTGTATATTTGTTATTTCTTTTGGAAATTTGAGTGTGGATTCAAATTCATTCTATCATGATAGCTACAATATAGAATACAGTGTATTGAATAATCATTCTTTTTTATACCAATTTCAAATGCCATATCCACGATGACTAAATTACCATATGCATTTTGATGTCTTTCTGGATTTTCCTGTTCTTATTCATTGATTTGTTTATCTGTGTGACAATTTTGCAGTGTTTTGATTATCATTGTTTGGGAAGTGTCTTTATATACTATACAGCTTATCAACCTCACCCCCAACATTTTCAGAAATTTAATGGCTGTTGTTTTAATTTCAAATTTAATTTTGGTGCTGCTGGAACTAAATCCAGGGCCTTGCTCTTCCTGGACAAGTGTTTTATCACTGAGGTATCCCCAACCCCTCTTCTTTAAAACTTAATATTTGTTGGTACATAATACTGTGGAATAATTGTGCATTTTATATTTTCAGATCATAAAGTAGGTATAAAACAAGGTAGACTGGAAGAAAAGCACCTAACGTTTATGCTTCCCCAGTACCCACATGGTAGTTTACAACTGTCTGTAACCCAAGTTACGGGAATCCAACACACTCTTCTGGTCTGCATGGGCACCAGGCATGTACATGGTACACAGACATAATAAGTTCAGGCAAAATACCCACACATAAAATAAAATAATAAAGTTAAAAAAATTAGCTTCAGTTTGAGAATGTCTGTATTTCTCTGTTTAGATGTGACTTAAAAGGATTGTCATAAGTATTTGTTGCCTAGGTATAATACTGAGATTTTTCAAATGTATTTACGTGTCTCTGGAGCCAGATAAAATAATAACTTGAATGTGCTGCCATTAGGTATTGTGCTAATAAGTTTATTTTTCGGGTCTACTTTCCTTAATTAATATTGGGAAAAAGGTTTTATTTCAGTAGACAATAGATGAAGATCTAATTAAAGTAAAGTAGTGTTGATACTCAGCATTTTGCACAAACGCATTTAAAAGGAAAAACACATTTTCTTCATTGGTTCCTGGTATGAGGACGTGAGCAGTTCATTGTTCTGTTTCCTAGCATGACTCCAGTAGTCCTTTGCTGACCAGTGGGACTTCAGCAGCTGAGCTCCCTTGGGCTGTAAAGGTAAATAAGTTTCTTGCATCTCTTTTTCTTCCTACTTCAAATGCTTTCCTCCCTGTCCTCAAAATATATTGTTCTGCATTGGACTTTTCATATACATGTTCAAAAGTGTAGGGAAAACACTGAGATGGAAAATGTTGAGTAGTATCTTAGCTCTGTTAGCCATTTTGTGACAATTTTTAAAAACATTATATTTCTTTGAATTGAAAGATGGAATGTCACTGCCAATGTCTTCTGAGAAAGGTACTTCCTTGCTGTAGGTCTGGTTGAGTGGACCAAGTGCTCCTCACAGCATTCTGTCTCTGAAATTGTGTGAGTCTAACCTGACAGTAGAAAAGCAAAATGGTCTTCCAACTAGTCCTTAGTAGAGACACTTTGAAATTATTTAATACATTTTGGTAAAAATGGTTTTTTTAAAATATTTTCTTAAAAGCCTGTTTTTTATTTGAATATTTCATTTTTATGTATGCAATTAAAACCTTTTCATGATTGTTTAACTTGTCGTCTTTTTTTTCATATTGTAGTCTGAAGACAAAGCCAAATATGATGTAATTTTTGATAGTCTAAGCCCAGTGGATGGATTTTTGTCTGGTGATAAAGTGAAACCAGTATTGCTCAACTCTAAGTTACCTGTGGAAATCCTTGGAAGAGTAAGATAGCAAACTTTAAATGTAATTTGTTTGTTTGTTTGTTTTGAGATAGTCTTAATGTGCAGCTCAGGCTGGTTGGTCTGGAGCTCACGGACCTCTCGCCTGAGCCTCACGAGTGCTGGAATCGTAGTATTGTGCTAGATGCAGTTATTGTATGTTTTAATTTTACACATAACAAGAGCACTAATAACTAATAACAATAACAATAATACAATAAAAGATATACAGGTCTTTTAAAAGTTGTGTTAATACAGGATTTTCTATATTTTTAACATGTATATTATTGTCACATTTCTGGTTTTAGTTTTCCCTGTAAAATATGAATAGTTGGTATTAGTTACATATGTATACTTGAATGATCTAGTTGACGGATTTTCTGTGTGTGCTTGCACATGTGTATACATGTGGGAGCCTCAGGTGTTCCTCTTCAAGAACTGTTGTTGTGTTTTCTTACCTTATTTTTTGTTTTGTTTTGTTTTGTTTTTGAGACATGTTCTTTTCTTATCCTGGAGCTCCAGGCCTGGGGGTTGCAATCTAACACGTAGACATGGTTTTTTTTTTTAATATTTATTTTATGTTCTTGAATGTTTTGCCTCAATGTATGTATGTACACCATGTGTGTACCTTGTGCTCATAAGAGTCAGAAGAGGCCATTGGATCCCCTGGAACTGGCATTATAGATGTCTGTGAAGCCTCTGTGTGGGTGCTGGGAACTGAACTTGGGTGCTCTGCAAGAGCTGCAAATGCATTTAATTGCTGAGCCATCCCTCCAGCTCTCACACCAACCTTTTTATGTGGGTCTGGGATTTGAACTAAAGCCCTCATGCTTGCATGGAAAGTACTTTATTATTAACTGAGTTATCTCCCCTGCCCATGTAGTTCACATGTTAAAATATGCAGTTCAGTAATATTAAGTATAGTGACATTTCCGTACAACCACCATCACTATCATCTCCAGGGCTTTTTTCAGCTGGTAAGATTAAAGCTTTATCTTTGTATCTTCAGAAATTATTTTTTCCTTTATTTAATTTGTATGTGTTTATCCTTAGTTCCATACCTTTATTCTTAGCTCTTTTTCTCCATTGTTCTTCAGTATCTTATCTAATGAAACCATAGATTCTAAGTTGAATTTCCTGCTTCTATATAGATCTTTTTTCCTAAATGTTTTTAAGACTTTTAATTCTTTGACTTTGTTAATAAGTGTTTGATTTTACTAAAAAGTCAAGCTTGCATTTGCTAATTATTTGCCTCTTTTTTGTTGCATATAGACTTTTGAGAAATGCTAAAATAACTTCATGATCACTAGTTTTGTCTGGGTTTCTCCATATTCCTTGCCACTTTTGTGCTCTTTCCAAAGTAATTTCTTTTCTTTATTTGATGTTTTAAACCATAACTACTCTCTCTAAGCCCCCAGCTCTTGTGTCAAATCTTGCTTGCCCTGCTTTTTTAAGTAACTTGGGGAAAGTCTTTAGAAAAATTGTGTGTTGGTTTTCAAATCTTTAAATTGGATATATTTTTCAGTTGATAGGCTTCCAAGGAGTAAATGTGATAGTATATGTACTTAGTACAGTGCATGTTACAAACTCTGTTAGAGAATGTTAGGTGCTATAGTGGTGATGGTGGTGATTACCATCACACTGCCAGAAATACTTGTGCTGCTGCTGCCCCTGGGTCAATAAGTTCGTTCTCTCTCTCTCTCTCTCTCTCTCTCTCTCTCTCTCTCTCTCTCTCTCTCTCTCTCTTTTTCTCTCTCTCTCTCTCTCTCTCTCTCTTTCTCTCTCTCTCTCTCTCTCTCTTTCTCTCTCTCTCTCTTTCTTTTTTTTTTGGACAGGGTTTCTCTGTGTAGCCCAGGCTAGCCTGGACCTTTTCTTTGTAGACCAGGCTAACCTTGAACTCAGATCTACCATGCCTGGAAAACACTGATTTTTTTTAAAAAAGCTTTTTTCTAGTATTATTTCCATTCTTTTTTCTATTGTGTGGTCAGTGTGAGATTCCTAAACTTTGATTATTATTATTTTATTTCTTTAAACTAACCTTTTAGCAACTTCTCATTGCAATTAAGACAAAGTTCAGATCCAGATCCTTTTAAGGCAGTTAATGACTAGGCACTCTCGTATTCCACCAGTATACTTTCTCTTCCTGTCCCTAAGTAGAACATAAAATAAAAGAGCACTAATTGTTCTTCTCTTTTCTAAGGTTTGGGAGTTGAGCGATATTGACCATGATGGAAAGCTTGACAGAGATGAATTTGCAGTTGTAAGTAACCAGATATTCTTAAAATGTAAAGGGTCTTCATTTTATCTCCCACCCATACCTTCTACCATTTGATTTAAACAGGGTTTGAACTTACAAGCTTCCTACCCCAGACTCTGAGTTTTTTAAATTATAGTGTGTGCCACCTGCCCCAGGAAGCATTTCCTGTTTTAATTTATCCTTAGTAATATGTCCATCAGATTGTAGTTATTAGGATTTATAGGTAAGTACATATTTTTAATGAAAAAGAGGATGTGTATGTTTTACTGTCATTTTTTTGTACATCATTTGCCATAGTTAGGAAAGATACTTGGTTAATATACTGTAAAGATGATGGTGTGGTAATTTTGGGGGGTCTTAAATTACTTCAGTCTTCTTAAATTACTTCAATTTTGTTTCAACTATATCTCTCATTTTATTAAAAGGAAACATGCACAACAATTTAGTTTCATTTCAATTGATGGGGCAGGAACATTTTGGCATCTTCCCTTAGTTTAAAGATCTTTTGATTTTAGTAGCTAGGTAGTTAATGTCAGATATGGCATTTATTGCTCCCTTAAAGTTAGATGAAACTTTAATAGGCTTTGGGAAGTGGTTCAGTTGTTAAAAGTGCTTGCAGTTCAAGCTCATGAACTCATGTGCACCTGAGTTCAATCTCTAGACCCCAAAGAAAAAGAAAAAGGGTTGGTGGTGAGTGCGTATCATCCTGGTGCTGGCAAAGCAAGACAGGATGCTCCTGAATCAGCAGGTTTCCGGGTACAGTGAGAGACCCTGGCTCAGAAAATAAGATGGAAACCTCTGATTTGTACACACCCATGCACACATGTATGCAATGCACACACATACGTAACCTGCTGTGAATTTACCTGGGATAAACTGGTACTCTTACTTGGATGTTAATCTGCTTAAATTTTCTACCTCTAAAGAATTTTTCTAAAGAATTGTTTGGGTTTTTCGTGTGTGTGTGTGTACGTGTGTGTACATGTGTACATGCGTATATGAGGGCAGATGCCTGCAGAGAGCAGAGGTGTCAGATCTCCCTGGAGCTGGTGCTTTAGTTAGTTGTGAGCCACTTTATGGGTGCTGTGAACGGAAGTCAGGTCCTCTGTAAGAGTAGACAAGCTCTTAATTGCTGAACATCTCTCCAGCTCAATTGCTTGTTTTTTTTTTAATTTTTTTTTTATTTTTAGACTTGTTCCCATGAACTTGTGTTTTTGAAAATCTTTTTATGCCTGAGGTTATCCTCTTTTCTCATTTTGAATCTTCCACATTTATGTTCATAGTCCTTTTTATTACTTTGGTTCAATCTATCATTAGGTCAGTGATATTTCAAAACAATCATTCTTTAAGATTATCCTTTTGTGGTTCGTATTTTAAATTTCCATCTAATTCAGCTTTTACCTTCACTTATTCCCACTTTCAAAAACCTTTTCTAAAGTTTATTGGTATATATGGGCAGAGGTGACATGCCATGAGTGTGGAGGTTAAAGGATTACATCAAAGTTTGTTCTCTTTTTCTGCCTTTCGGATTGCCAGACTTGCACAGCTGGTGTCTTGAACATTTGAGGTATCTCACTGCTCTAGCCCCCCCTCCTTTTTTTGTAACTGTCTGATTAGCCCAGTCAGGTCTTACATTCACTATATATCCAAGGATGACTTTTGTCAAATTTAGAAACCTACATTGGTCGATTACTTTTAAAAAACGTCACATTTTCTTTTGATTTCACCACTTAGAAGCTTTCTGGTCCAAGATCTGCTCTTTAGTATTCTGCTGCGTTTAGTTGCTGTGTCTTTGCAGTCTCTTGAATCTTTGGCAGTTTGTCATTTTTGTCTTATTTTTATGACCTTGACTTTTTTTTTAAAGGAGTACTGGCCTAATAACATGTAGAATATCTTCCAGTTTAGATTTGTCTAGAGGCAAAATGAATTTATTCAAGTATCAGGGATATATTCTGTCATGGGGATTGGTTAAGATAGCATTTGCAGAAAAGTAACTTAAGGTTTTTCTCTCTTCTTTTTTTTTTTAATTTCATTTTATTTGTTATATATAGTGTTCTGTCTACATGTTTGCCTGAATACCAGAAGAGGGTACCAGATCTCATTACAGATGTTTTTGAGGCACCATGTGGTTGCTGGGAGTTGAACTCATGACCTCTGGGAGAGCAGCCAATGCTTATAACCTCTGAGCCATCTCTCCAGCTCCCGTTTCTCTCTCTCTCTCTCTTTTTTTTTTTTGTTCCTGTAAAAGTGAACTTGACTGCCTTTGTATCGTTTTTTTTCTCTTCTTCTTTCCAAGTGTTACTGTTTTCTGTCACTAGTACTTATTGGGTTCTTATTTTGTGAGGAACATGTGGCACTAGAACATGTAAGAGGGAGCTATACTGGTTTATGCTAGCATGTATCACGTACTCTTTGTTGTTGTTTGTCAGGACAGGGTTTCTCTGTGTAACAGCTCTGACTGTCCTGGAACTGACTCTGTAGACCAGGCTGGCCTCTGCCTCCTGAGTGCAGCCATTGCCATCCATCTCATCACATACTCGTTATTAGCGTGAGTGTGAGTGTGTGTGTTTCTTTGAATTGAACACAGGGTATTACATATGCTAAGCAGGTGCTCTGCTGCTGAGCTACACCTCAAGCCCTGAAATTAACTTTTGCTCATATGCTGCACTCTTGTGTTATGAAAGTGAAGGGTATTTTCCCCTTGGTGTTTTTAGCCTGGTGGTTAGACATTTTTCAGTAAATGTTCCATTAAACTAAGGTGGCGAAGGAAACTTATTTACTTGGAAAACACAAAAAGTGTTTTCATCCCTTATAGCAGCTGTGGTTGCCACCTGCTTCAATAGGTCAGAGAGCACGCAAAACCCTAAGGAAACTCCTAAAAGTATTGTTGCCCATCAGTAATACCCAGAAGCCCTTGGACTAAACCTCCAGCCAGAAGCTGGTCAGGTTCTGTATTTTAAAAGGCCTTCAGAGCCCGTGATGCTGCTTAATCCCAGCACTCCAGAGGCAGTGGTAGGCAGATCTGTGTGAGTTTGAGGCCAGCCTGGTCTACACAGCCTGGACAGCCAAAGCTACACAGAGAAACTTGGTCTTGAAAAATAAGAAACAAAACAAAGCAAGCCCTTCAGGTTGATCTGACATCCACTGAAAGTTAATGTTGCTTAAAACACAAAGAGAAAAACACTCTGAAAGAAAGTCAGTTGATAGTAATCCCAGCTGAATCCTTTCTTTCCTTGGCTCTCTGTGTAAAGTTTAGGTCTGTTTGCGGTGATTTTATTTTTAAATAAGAAGTATCCTAAAAGCTTTTTACTTTAGCATTTCTCTATGTAACTTTATTCATACTCACCTAGTATATACCAGCTTGAAAGCTAACATTTCTCTTCCTCCCCCACATGCACACATGGGCAGGTGAGGTTGGGAGGGCATCATTTGATCTGGTTGCTGTTTTTGTTTCAGTTGTAGACATTGTATAGGATAAAGTACAATATAATAAGAATACAAGATCATAGTCCAGCAGTACTAAAATTACTCTGTTCACTTTTGATATTAAATTTAGTGAACAAAATTTGGCATTGATTTTCTTGGGGAAACTATTTTCAAGACACATGAAATTAAGAACTTTAACTTTCAGAAAAAAAAAATGTGTTGTCTCTTGGCAGCAGATGGCAGACATTGCTGCTGTTGTTGAGTTTCCACTTTTCCAGGAAATGACTTCCATCTGCAGCAAGAAAAATGCTGACCTTTATATGCTTGCGGGTCCCTTGTCGCATACAAATGCCAATCTGATGCTACATACGTTGTCAGCTTGTCTGAAAAGGATGTGTTAGGCAGATTGTTTTCTTTTTGGAGCTTCAGGTTTTTTGAGACATAGTCTTCATTTGTTTTAAAACTGACACTGAATTCTTATTAGTTGGCTCATCTCTGGAAAAGGCTTGGTTCAGGTCAAATGGTTAGGTGCTACCCTGGATACACAGCACGAGAATCACTGGAAACTTGTTAGAAATGCAGATTCGTTGGCCCAGTTCCAGCTTTACTGAGTTCAGAGTTCCAATTATAGAGCTACTAAGCCGTCCAGGCAGTTCTGGTGCCCACTGTAATCTGGGTCCATGGGTCAGGTTTAGTTTTTCTAATTATAAAGGAAAGGATGGCAGTGTGAATTATTATACAGGTGCTGTTAATGCTGATTAAAGCTTAATCAATCAAGAATGCTGTAGCTAAGATGGCCTAGTTTGTAGCATATACATTTATATATGTATATAAACATTTAAAAATTATATTTTAAGACAGATTAGTATAACCTAGGCTGGCCACAAACCCAATCCTTTGCTCCTCAGTTTTGAGTACTAGGGTTATAGGATTGTGAAATGATGCTTGGTTTAGTGTATACTGTAGCCTATGCATTTTTTAAAATGTTGTATTAGGCAAGTTAGCATCTCTGAACCTCAATTTCTTGATTTATAAAATATTAGCCGTTATAGAAATATGGATCACATTTGTATTCTGTACTCAATGAATATTGATTTGAAAACAATTCAAACTTAGGAGTTAAGATAGGAGCTCAAAGCAAGTTTACTTTTGAGAATTAGGATTTTCTTTCTTAATTGTTGTCTTTTCTGGTTGCTAGGTTTTTTTGTTTGTTTGCTTGCTTTGCTTTGTTTTGTTTGAGATACCAAAGGATGGGCCGTTTGTGGTGTCCCTCCTTTCTTTTTTTTAATTGTCTGTTCATAGTTTTTGTTCATCTTTAATTGAAATTAAATTATTAATTTCTAGGAAAACTTTATATATTAGATTATTTCTTTATAGATAGCATTTTTAATTCAAATTCTCATTCTTTGCTGTTAACAAGAACTTCAGTTGAAGGGTGTGCCTCTAAGTTTTTATGACTATTTCTTCTTAAGAATGTTTTAGCCTTGAGTTTTTACTTTTCTTCCTCTTTCCTTTTGTTTCTTCCTCTTTTTCTCCTATTCTTGTTCTTAATTTTACTTTTTAAAAAGATTTGAGAAGCCAGGCCATTGTAAGTGAATTTTATGATAACTTAAAAATATATCTGATTCTGTTTTGTTTATCTTCAAGGCCATGTTTTTGGTGTACTGTGCACTGGAGAAAGAACCTGTGCCAATGTCCTTGCCTCCAGCCTTGGTGCCACCTTCTAAGAGAACAATGGTCAGTATATCAGGCTCCGTGTGGTCGGTCCCCTCTTCAGCAGCCAAGGACTCTTACCACTCCTTACCACCTGTAGGCATTTTACCTACCAAAGCACCGTTAAGACAGGTAGAAAAATTTGTCAGTGTTAAAGGATTTTACTTTAACAAAGTGCATGAATGTGATTGGTAAAACTAGAGGAGCAAAGATGCTGCACTTGCTCTAATTGAGCCTGCATAACGTGATGCCACAGAGGAGGCAGATGCTCCTTATGTCCTATGGGTGTTTGACTGATCTATAGAGATTAAAGATGGAGATAGAAGATACTGTGTGCTAATATGCATGCTCTCCCTGTCATAATAATAATTTTTAATCTGTAGTTAACTCTTGATTCTTTAGATCACGTTACTAATTCTGATCGATTCTTACTTCCTTTGACCTATCTTTGGTCAGGTTGTGTAATAGCAACTATAATGACAGCCTGTACAAGCTCAGCTCTGGGCAAGAATGCTGCATGCATAGAAAATGAAGCTTGGGGAGTATGTAGATTATTTATTTATGCAGGCTTTCCCAGATACCACTTTTAGTATTGGAATTTGTAGGCCAGGGCTTAATTGTGCTTGAGTTTACTGGTTTCTTTAAAAAAAAAAAGTGTTAAATTGGCACCTGTAAATGTCCTAACTGATGTGTAATTCTGTTGCCTTCTCTTCATACTTTTTGGTTGTGATGTATGGGAACCAGTGCACTGACATCAGGTTATTTGGGTATATTTGTTCAGATTGGTGACAAATACACTTATGGTTTGAAGAAATATTATTTCAAAGTTGGTTTCATTTTGATAGAAACTTCTCTTCCCTCTCCAGTGGGTTGTATCCCCTGCAGAAAAGGCTAAATATGATGAAATCTTCCTGAAAACGGATAAGGATATGGATGGATATGTGTCTGGTCAAGAGGTCCGTGAAACCTTCCTGAAAACAGGTTTACCTTCTGCCTTACTAGCCCACATCTGGTAAGACTTTATTTTAATAGTTTTTAAAAAGTGTGTGTGTGCGTGTGTGTGTGTGTGTGTGTGTGTGTGTAGTGTTATATCTAGTTTTTATACTTTTTTCTAGATTTTGAGAACAGGTTAGTAATTGTTTCATTTTTTATAGAGAAAATTCAAATATGAAGAATTATTGTGTATAATAAACAAAAATTCAGGAGTGGTATTAAAAAATAGGTGGAGCATTTTTTTATACCAATTATAAACTCTTAGAATGTTGTTACGAAAATCCAGCTATCTGAAATTTAAACAGTTTAATAAGTAATACCTTTAGGTGCTGGAAATATAGCTCAGTTGGTAGAGTTCCTAACTAGCATGCAGGAGGGCATGGATTTGATCCCTTGTGTTACATGAATTGGGTATGGTGACATACACCTGCAATCCCAGTACTCATGGAAGTGCAAGATCAGCCTGGAATAATGAGACCATGTCTAAAGGAAAAAATTGCTTTCATTTTGCTTTAGAGCTGAATAGTATTCCATTTTTTATATATACAGATTTTTGTTAGCCACTTATCTATTGATAGAAATCTGTTGGTATCATTTCATTCCTATAGAGAATAGAGCAGCAATAAACAGGGATGCAAATATCTTTGCAAGAAAATAGATGTATTATATTGAGGTTACTTGAAAGAAAGAAAAATTCTGTGTGTTCTTTTTGTGAGTCCTTGCCTGTACCTTACACATGGACATCTGCAAACAGATACACACATAGAAATAGTAAGTATCACAGGCAGTAGGAGAACAAGAAAGGGTGATGAGGAAGGGTGGAGTGCAGGTAAAGAATACATGAGTCAGCCGGGCGGTGGTGGTGCACGCCTTTAATCACAGCACTTGGGAGGCAGATGCAGGCAGATTTCTGTGACTTCGAGACCAGCCTGGTCTACAAGAGCTAGTTCCAGGACAGGCTCCAAAGACACAGAAAAATCCTGTCTTGAAAAGCCAAAATAAATAAGTAAATAAATAAATAAATAAAGATGAGTCGTGAAAGAGGATATAAAACTTGGGTTTCTAGTTTTAACTCTCTCATGGATTTTTAATTTTTTTGTGCATAAACATGTAAGCAAAATCCTATAGCTTCAGAATGGCTGTGTATATTCATGATTTGAATATGTTCGTTGAGGTGTATAGACTTTTGGTCTAGGCAGTTGCTTGTTTGAATGGCTACATTAGTCTGTGTGGGGGTTTGTTTGTAACATTTGTACAAGATAGTGGTTTTTTTAATTAAAAAATAAACAGTGATGTACATGTCTAATCCTGTAAGATGTATATATTTGTATGACACTTATTCATTGGTAATGCATTTCATAGTACATATAATAATGCATATGAAATTGCTTTGTCTTGTGCCTGCCCCTACCCTGGCTAACTCTGCCAGATGTTATCTTGAGGTTTTTAAGAAGCAACAAACACAAAAAGTTGCAGAGAGAAACTTAGAGAGCAGAGCATAGTAGGTCTGTCTTAAGAGAGATGAATATCCAGACAGGAAAAGATTAAGCTTGCATAGCTGAATCTACAGCCTTTGAGTGCCTAGGCTAAGTACACAGAACAAAGTAACTGTCACAAATGGGTTTGGTACTGTGCTCAGGGTTTAATCATGCATTCCCTTCCTTATGGTACCTCACAAAAGGAGTTTCTTTACTTACAGAGGAAGAAACTAAGATTGAGACCTCAAAAAATTTTGTTCCAGGTTATAAGGACTTAAGATAAAAGCTGTACTCCACATTCGGCTTGATACCGTGTCTTTTTGTCAACTACCCTGATATCCAGCCTTTTTGTCAGGCTACCCTGACTTTCAGAGAATTAAACATTTTTAAAGCTGAATTTTAAAAAAAAGAAAAAAAGGCAAATAGAATGAAACATTTATTCTCTCCCTTCAGTTGACAGGTTTTACTGTGTTTTCTGGTAAAATTTATTATTTGACAATTTTGTATGGATGTAATAAGTTTTGGTCATTCACATACTCCATTACCATCTTGTATCACCATTCCACATTCTGGAGCTCTTCTTTACAATATATCTCTTTTCAACTTTTATTTGTTTTCTAATAACCTCCTGAGCTTAATTAGGGTTGCTTGCTTATACATGGGTGTAGGATTATTTACTGGATCATGCACAACTTGCCAGTGACTACTTTACTGAAGAAAAATGACTTCCCTTCCCCAGGCAGCCATTAGCTACCCCAGGCAAGGGTTGGGCCTCTTGCGCCCCTCTCCTAGCCATGCTGTGGTGCTGATGGGCTCAGCCTTAGCCCGGTGGCCACTGCTGTGTTTGTGAGTGCAGCAGCTGTGTCATGTTCAGAAGACCGCATTCCCCAGCACCCTTTTCATCTTCCTGCTCATACGTGTTTTTTACTTTCTCTGAGCATTGGGATTTCTGTTTTGTTTTGTTTTTCTTACAGCCCTGGCTGTCCAGGATCTCGCTCTATAGACCAGGTTGGCCTTGGACTCAGAGTTCCACCTGCCTCTGCTTCCCAAGTGCTGGGACTAAAGATGTGCTTCACTACTGCCTGGTTTCTTTTTTGGCATCTTAATGTGCTCCACTCTTTAACTTTTTATGTGAGTTTTGAGCAGCCTGTGATATTTTTCAATTCAGCTAATTATTTTTAAAACATTAAAATCATATGTTTTTCTCCTGGGTTTTGGGAGTAATAATGTAGCACTTATGTACTGTTCATTTTGTTTATTTGTATAGGGCACTGTGTGACACAAAGAACTGTGGGAAGCTTTCAAAAGACCAGTTTGCCTTGGCTTTTCACTTAATCAATCAAAAGTTAATAAAGGGCATTGATCCTCCACATATTCTCACTCCTGAGATGATTCCACCATCAGACAGGTCAAGTTTACAAAAGGTAAGAAAACTTTAAAGAGGACCTGCATGCCTGATAGAAAGAAACCAATGTCATTGTGTCTAGTCACAAACGTGGAGGGGCAGAGCACTCCCATTTGGTTTAGTGTATCTGTGAGCATGCTCACATATCCCTAATATAGCATCCTTGAACTGCCAACCCTACTATTCATCACACATATGACTGCTGTACTTTATTATATTAAATTGAAGTTGTTTTTTTTTTGAAACAGAGTCTCATATAGCCCAGCCTGGCATTGAATACTGTATAGCTGAGAATTACTTTGAACTTCTGATCCTTTCTTTTTTCACTTCCCAAATGCTAGGATTATAAGCTTGCACCATGGCTAGTCAATTTTTATGAAAAACTAAAGAAGGAAGGAAGGAAGCATTAGCTATAATAATTAAATTGTTACATTTCAATCTTACAGAAAACAATACAAATTTGGAAACAAAATCCATAAGATAGTGATTGTTTAGTATCAATTTTACATCAATATAGCCTTCAAGAAAAACTGTATGTTGAGGAAAATCTGTATGCATTTCTTTGCCATAGGATGAGCGTTCATTCTTAAGTATATATCTGAGCTTCATATCTAAACATCTGGAAGTTAGTTGGGTTTCTGGTCAGCAGTGGAAATTTTCAAAGCATTTTCATTTTAACCATGTTGTACTTTGAATTTTATTTCCTTGTCTAGAAGCTCTTTTTAATATAGCACATTTACAATATCGTGGTCTGTAATAGACCTTTCAAAAGGTCTATTATTATTATATATATTATTATTATCTATATTATATGGTAGGTTTAGTTACTTTTCAAACTAAATAACCAGGTGTCGATTGACCCTGTAGTCTCAGCTCCTGGGAAGGCTTAGACTAAAGAATTCTTTTTGTTTGTTTGTTTTCGAGACAGGGTTTCTCTGTAGCTTTGGAGCCTGTCCTAGAACTAGCTCTTGTAGACCTGGCTGGCCTCAAACTCAGAGAGATTTGCTTGCCTCTGCCTCCCGAGTGCCGGGATTAAAGGTGTGTGCCACTATCTTGCCACCATCGCCCTGCTAAAGAATTATTGAATCCAGAAGTTCAAGACTATCCTGGGCAGTGCAAGGAGACCTCATCTAAAAAAGACCCAAACAAAATAAAACATCTCACCCAAACTTTCCATCTTTAAATCTCTTCTCACCTGTGTCATAAATACTGCTGTGGTGATATTTCAGGGTTGTCAAATGTGTGTTATTAAGAACTGACTTTCAAGTACCAATAAAATGTTTTGATTTTGCATTAATTTTATAAGATAGTTAAAAATTCCATTTTAACCTAACAAGTCTAAAATGGACTTTTCCCCTCCAAATAAAGTAAATGGAATTCACTACTGCCAGGTCCTGAGAATTAGTTATATGAATGAGGTTTTGTACTTTGTGAGTGTTTTTAAACTCTTGGATGTGTGACACGAACTCACTAGGTTGTGGAGCGACTGAAAGTGATGCTGCACAGAAAGATGTAGGGAACAGACTTATACCTATGCATTCTGTTCTGTTCTGTGTCTCAGCAGTGTAACACTGTAGACATCATTCATGTAGGGTTTTATGTCTGCATTTTTATTTTATGACTGAAACTTTCACCAACTCTTACTTTCCAAGAGAACATAAATTACTGAAACAATTTTGTTTGTTCATGGAATCTGTATAATAGTAGGCACTTGAGGTTGTATCTGTTAACATAGTTTGTAATTAGTAGACTTCTCAGAAGACCATTTACTAATGGAGGTGGGTCTTGTATCTTATCTGTTGCTTTCACGGGTTAACTAATATAGAAAACTGCTTGGCCTGATAGGACAGAAGATTAGGTAGGCGGAGTAAACAGAACAGAATGCTGGGAGAAAGAAGCTGAGTCAGGCAATTGCCATGATTCTCCCACTCCAGACAGACGCAGGTTAAGATCTTTCCTGGTAAGCCAGCTCCTGGTGCTACACAGAATATTAAAAATGGGTTAGATCAATATGTAAGAGCTAGCCAATACGAGGTTAAAACTAATGGGCCAAGCAGTCTTTAAAAGAATACAATTTCCGTGTAATTATTTCAGATAAAGTTAGCCATGCGGGCTGAGTGGTGGGAAGTGGCCCACCGCTCCTACAACAATTTACTAGAGCATGCTAAGGTATGCTTATTTCTTGGTGCCAGATTCATTGAAATATTTTATAACTGCTAATTTTGATATTTTATAACTGTTGCCTTATCTATTAATCAAAAATATTAAAATTTGTACTGACTTTCAAATAATCTCTTCTCATTATCTATTTTTTTTTATTTTATTTAAAAGAACTGCATTTTTTTTGTAGCTTCGACTAAACCATTTTGAATGTCGCTTTCCTCCTCTGTGTTTTTTCTAGTTTGGACTGTTTTTTCCATTCTGCCGCACTCTGCTTTCGCCTTTCTTGTACTGTCAGTTTCTTAACTCCCCTCTCTCTCAAGGTTAGAGCTTTCTTTTATGCTGTCTTTGTTGTATTTTAGCATTACAGTTTTTTATTTACACAGTATATTTTGAAATTAGAGTGTTTTTTTATGCAGAAAAGTTGATAAACAGTGAAAACGGTTGATCAGCATGCTTTTGTCATGTGTCATTTGATACTTATATGCACTGTGGCCTGACTTCACAATCCACTTAAAATTATTAAGGTGAGGCTTTGATAAAATGCACAAAACAACATGAGAGAAAATATTTGTAGGGTGCATGTGGGGCCAGAGATGCTCAGCAGTTCAGAGCACTGACTGCTCTTCCAGATGATCCAGGTTTGGTTCCTCACACTCACGTGGTGGCTTCACATTGGTTGCAACTCCAGTTCCCAGGGAGCTGCTGGAGCTGACAATCTCTTCTGGTTTCCATCAGTACTGTTTGTGTTTGATACACTTACACACATACAAGCAAAACACACACAAATTAAACAGAAAGGGAGTGTACGGAGAGGTGCCTTAGCAGTTAAGAACACTAGCTGCTCTTCCAGAATACCTGGGTTTGGTTCCCCATTCACAGGCATGGCAGCTTATAACCGTCTGTGGGATCCAAATCCCTCTTCTAGTCCCCATGGGCACCAAGCGCATATTTGCTACACAGACTTGTAAGCAAGCAAACACCCATACACATAAAAAATAATTCAAAATTGAATAAATGAATAAAATAATTTTAAAAGACGGGCATGCTACCATTTTTCTTTGTGTACTCTTCGTGTACTATACATAATTTTAGTTGAACTTTTCCATATTTGCTTGCATGCCATTTTAATAATATAAAGCTATTACCTTCTAACTTGTTTGAGGCTAAACTAATTTATTTAACTTAATCTTCTTGCCTGTTGGTGTTTTAATAGCAAAGGCTGCAAAATGTAATCCACTTTTTAAGAAGAGGTATGGAAGCCATGTGTTTCCTGGTGTACTTGCACCTCTAATAGAACTTTTCTCAGTAGCATTTAAGTAATAGAAATTACTCTTGATAATGAATGTGAGATCAAGTTCTATTATTTTTCATTTTTTTCACCTGTCTGGATATCTGACTCAACCTAACCCATAGGTCAAGTTTAGATAAAACTAAAACTTAGTGAATAACTGTCTCCTGCAGAAATCTGCTTTAAGATTCTTAATTTAATATGGCTTCAGTAATGGTCTGTATATTAATGGAGCTTAATAAAACAGTTAAGTATTTTTGAGAATCATGGCACTGTGCACCTTTAACCTCAGCACTCCAGAGACTGAGGCCAGAAGGTTTACAGTAAATTTAAGACTAGCCTAGGCTACATAGTGAGCTCAAGAGTAGCCTAGGCTACATAGGGAAGTGCTGTCTCAACTGCCCCTCTAAAAGAATTATATTTGATAAAAGGTTGTAACTAATATAAAATTTGAAGTTTAATTAATTGAATCTTTATAGATGAGTTTTAATGCTAATAGTCAAAACAACTCAGTATTAGCAGGCAATGTGATAATAAAAAAAAGTAGAAGGAATTATTTGTCATATTTTATTAACCAGTTTGCTAAGTTTACTTTTAGCACAATGTTTTCTAAATTACTTTGGCATGCAAATGCCAAAGGTCATGTTATAAAATGACAGTTGTATTTAATCTGAAGATTTTTGATCAAATTAATAAGTTCAACTTTGAGCAGTCCCTTGATTTGTTTGCTAGCTCTAAATTTAGTTAATACTCACCTTCCAGTGATTCACTCTTTAGATTACTTTTGAGAACTTATTGATAGGCTCAGCAGTGCCTGGTAAATTTTAATGATTGTGTAAGGGTGAGGAATAGAATAGTATGGAGCATTTAGATCTCTTCTGCTGTGTGCGTGGTGACACATGAAAGTCACAGCATTAGTGTTATCAACTCAGTTTTATGTTCTAATCGTAGGTCTCACACAGTCAGGTTTTAGTTTTACTGTTTCCACAAGCTGAAGATTCTGTTATCTGTTAATCTGATTGTAATGGTGTGTATAAGTCGGGCTTTTAAAGGAGCGGTCATCCTCTTGTTCTGACTTTAGAAAGCAAACTGGGCATCAATGGCAGTTCAAAAAAGAAAAAGTTACTTCATTTGATCTAAGTAGGCAGGGCAGAGATTTATTTCTCCATTTTTCGGGTGAAGAGGATATAGTTAGCAAGATAACAGAATGTAGATTAAACCTAGATTCTGTATCTATATAAGTATCATTTGGTAACCAATTCTGATATCATCCTTATTAAAAGAAAGCTATGTGTTGCTATATGATGTCCCATTTAATCCCCATACTTGTGGGTAGAGGCAGGAGGATCAGGAATTCAAGGTCACCGTTGTCTCCACAGCACGTTTAAGGCCGTCTTGGGTAAATGAGACCTTGCCTCAAAAACACAAAAATGGACTGGAGAGATGGCTTAACAGTTAAGTGTGTAAACTGCTGTTGCAGAGGGACTGGAGTTTGACTCCCAAAACCTGTGTCGGGCTGCTTACAACCACCTGTAACAGGGGATCTGATGCCTTTTTCTGGCCTCTGTAGTACGCACATGCACACAGAGTTAAAAATCTGTTTATAAAAAAAAAAAAAAAACAGAAAACACTAATACACACTAAAAAAATTAAAAAATGAAAAGAAATATTTTCTGTATATAGACTTACATACATGGTGATAGTAGTGTTTATTGTAGGATATGTTTGAGCAGTTGGTCAGTTGATTTTTGGTTAGATTAGATAATAAAAGCATTTAACAAAAAGTATTTGTTGAGTAAAGTCAACCACCATTATAATTCTGAGACTCAACAAAATTTATGTACTTATTCTGTGCTAGATAATGTAAATAGAAATATATCATCATCCCTGTTGCTGCTAAATCACACATCTTAATGGAGGAATTAATTTCTAATCTTGCATGTGTTTATTTACTGCAGAATTCTGGGTAAACTAGGATCATGTGACAAAGGCAATGGGATCTGGGGTGTGAGTTTATATTATTGAATAATAGCTTTCTGGAGGGTGTAAGGGAGCTGTCTTAATATACAAGAGCACATATAATTACAAATATATATATATGGTTGTGGAAAGTATTTTATTAAATGAGTTAAAAGTGATAATATGTAGTAAAATGGAATACCTTGTTACCCTGTATGGCTTTAGCAATTTGAGTGCTTAGCATGTATAGTAGTAATGTATAACTGTGAATTTTCTGTTTTTAGACCATCATAGGATCAAGTCCTGTTGCAGATTTCTCTGCTATTAAGGAACTAGATACTCTTAACAATGAAATAGTTGACCTCCAGAGGTATGTAAAGTAAAATTATAGCTAACTTTATAGGCACACATACAGATTATATGTATAGTATATGTGTATTACATAAACGTCCTCATTTTCTATGCACATTTTGATAAATACTACTTTATTTCTTTAAATACCATATTTCTGCTTAAATGGGATCAGAATGCTTTTTTAAAAAATCAAATATAAGTTAGGTGGTGGTGATGCATGCCTTTAGTCCCAGCACTCGGAAGGCAGAAGCAGGCGAGTCTCTGTGAGTTCAAGGGCCAGCCTGGTCTACAAGCAAGGTCTAGGACAGTTAGTACTGTTATACAGAGATACCCTGTCTTGAAAACAAACAAACAAAATTAAATATAAGGCAAATGATAAAGGAAGACACTCACTGTTGACCTCTTGCCTTCACACTCACACATCTGTGCATATACCCACAAATACACACACACACACATACACCTATACCTTTTTATTACTTTGGTTCAAGACAGAAGTAAACATTGGGTTACTGTGTCTATAATCATGTTTATATTTTATTTTCACAGGGCCTGTAAATGCCCCGTTAAACATTCTTGCTTATGTGTGTATTATCATTTAAACCGCTAGTTAGGAAAATACTTGTCTCTGTGCCTCTCAAGCTGATGTAGACAGACACATTCTTCAATGTTCTACACTTGCTTTCTTGACTTGCACAGTTGTTTAGTGTATAATATGCCTTTATAGTTACTTTAATAGGAATTAGCACCATAGATAAAATACTCTTTTGTTGCCATTTCTAATAGTTATTACATTTGGGCATTTAAGCTTTTACCAAGCTTTGATAATTGGGATATTATGGCTGTTGTATGTATATAGTAAATGATAACTAATAACCTATGAGGAGCATGCCTAGCATTTTTAAGTTTTCGTTAGATCACCAAGTCTTTAGGATATTTCATTATATACCTAGTCTTTCAGTATTTTTTTTCTGTACAAAAGTTTTTACTCTTGAGGTTTTGATTTTGAGTCTTTTTAATAGAATGAATGTGTATAACTATGATACAGGAAAGAATTCAAACAGTGTATGTGATGTTTACTAAATTGCTTTTTGACATAAGATTTCACTTTTATTGTTGTTTTTTTTTTACCATTTTTATTTATTTATTTATGCATTGTGTGTGCACATGTGTGTGGATGTGCTGTGGTGCGTATACAAAGGCCAGAGCACAACCTTCTGGAATCAGTTCTCTCCTCCACCAGCGGGCCCTGAGGATCAAACTTAGATTGTCAAGCTTGGTGGCAAGTGCCTTACCCATTGTGCCATCTTACTGGCTCTTTCATTGGTTAGAGATGAAGATGTTTAATTCCAAAGACTTCCGGTTGACATAGGATATGCTACTCAGACTCCCAGTAACTCACTGTTGTTAGTTTAATTCTGTTTTCATTTTTGATCAGTGTATGAAGGGCTCTTCCTTCATGGTGTTCCCCTGCAGATCACAGAGGCGTATACCTTTAATTCCAGGACTCAGGAGGCAGAGTCAAGCAGAACTCTGAGTTCAAAGTCTGGTCTACAGAGAGAGATCCAGGATAGCCAGCGCTACGTAGAGAGACCCTGTCTGTCTAAAACAAAACAAAACACCAAACTGCAGCAACAACAAAAAACCCATGGCATTTCCCTGTCACCCAGACCATTCTTCTTACTTCCCACAGTATATTCTCTCCTAGGACACTTTAAAATTTCATAAGAGCAGATATTGTATTTACTCTTTCTACCTTCAGAAATAAGCAAAGTGCTTTAACCATCTTTTGCTTTATTGTTATATTAGTCACTTTTCTTCTTATTGAGGAGATGTATGACAGAAGCAACTGAAGCAAGGAAGGATTTATATTGGCTCACAGTTTCAGAGGGTTCGGTCCATCATAGCAAAGCAAGCTGGATGGTGTGAGTGGCTCTGTCCACTGAAGCAGGCATCTGTTGTAGAACTTCTCATGCAGCCACCAGACCACAAAGCAGAGACTACTCTGGCAGTGGGACTGGGCTATGACTTTCAAAAGCCCACTCCTAGTGACCCAACTCCTCCAGCCACAGCAGACTCCCAAAAAGCAATACTAACTAAAGACCACATACTCAAATGTAACAGTGTGTGAGGACATCCACATTCAAACTATACTAATCCCTTTCCTCTAACCACCTGATACAGGTAGGCATATTACCTCTCACCTCAGCCTGCCACCTTATTTATTCATTGTCTCTCATGTTACTGTTCTCATTGCCTGGCTATACCTTTAACACTGTAAGCATCTATTCATGCTTGATGGCCCAAGTTAAATATCTCTTGTTAAGCTGTTCTTAAAATCTTTAGGTTGCCAGTTGTTCTTTTTCTATTTCCAGAAACTTGATCCATTTGTTTATTATTTTTATTTTCTCAAGACAGGGTCTCTCTGTGTAGCCCTAATTGTCCTACCACTCACGATGTAGACCAGGCTGGCTTCAAACTCACAGATTTCTACCTATCTCTGCCTCCTGAGTACTGGGGTTATAAGTGTATACCACCATGCCCAGCCAGTTCTTAAAAGCTTTTCATGGATCCCATAAGAATCCTTACTCTGAGCCGGGCGGTGGTGGGGCATGCCTTTAATCCCAGCACTCGAGGCAGAGGCAGGTGGATCTCTGTGAGTTCAAGGCCAATCTGGTCTACAAGAGCTAGTTCCAGAACAGGCTCCAAAGCTACAAAGAACCTCGTCTCAGAAAACAAAACCAAAAAAGAATCCTTACTCCGAAAGTAAAATGCCTCAGAGAAGTTTTGGTGTTTTTATTTGTTTGTTTGTTTGTTTGTTGTTGGGGACAGGTTTTTTTTTTAAAGATTTATTTTTAATTATGTGTATATGGGTGAATCGGGTGTCTGTGGTGGCCAAAAGTTTAGGATCCTGTGGGGCTGGAATTATAGGTGGTATTACGGGTCCTGGGAATGGAACTCAGATCCTCTGCAAGAGCAGCTTGTGCTCTTAACCACTCAACATCTCTCCAGTCCGTTGTGAGAAGTTCTGGACAGATGAAAGGTGCAAGAAAATGAGACTACTTTAGTCTCTTGGATAGCGTGGTCATGGTAATTTATGCTGAGGCAAAAGTTAATATTTTGACTTCTGCTAGCTTCTACTTCCTTCTTGCCTGTCCTGTTAGCAAAGCATGAGGAAGCAAAAGCCACATCCTGTCAGGCCTATTTGTTTTCCTGGTTTGAGGCCAATAAGCAATTGGTAATTGTAATAGTTATTGGGATTGTGCTACATCAACTTTATATAAATTCTTTTTTTTTTAATTCTTGCAACATCCCTGAAGTGGAAGAGGTTTTTAATCTTGATTTAATAGTTTTTAAATTATTTATTCTGTGGGGGCATGAGGATGCATATGCACTGGTGTTTTGCCTGTATATGTTTTATGTGAGGATATAGGATCCTCTAGAACTGGAGTTACAGATGGTTGTAAGCTGCCATGTGGGTACTGGGATTGATCCCAGGTCCTCTGAAAGACCAATCAGTGCTCTTAACTGCTGAGCCATCTTTCCAGCCCATCTATGTGATATTTTGTTTGTGATCTAACAATAAAGCTTGCTGAAATATCAAAGAAGTAAAGGAGCTAGCCACTATAGAGACTTTTTACCTCTGCCCAGTCTACATACCAAACTGGGCAAGATCCTGTCTCCGCAAATCCTCAGACTCAATGCGCTGAGCACCTGTCTCCTCCACCTTATATTCCTCTTTCCACCCATCCATATCCCTTCCTGTCTTGACCATCCTAGTGCTGGGATTAAAAATGTGAGCTACCACTGCTTGGCTCTGTTTCTTTTTCAGACTGATTGAATCTTGTGTAGCCTGAGGTGACCTTAAACTCAGAGAAGTCTGTCTGCCTCTGTTTCCCTAGTGCTGAGATAGTGCCACCAGTACCTGGCCTCTATGAGTAACTAGTATAACTAGCTCCACGCTCTGATCTTCAGACGAGCTTTATTTGTTTAAGCACAAACAAAATATCACCACACATCTGTTTTCAGTAATTTATGTCCGTGGATATATTCTCTTACTTTTCAAGAAGGTGGGTGGGGGGGGGGAGCTTATTAAAATGGCTAACCTCCCTCTAGAATAATGGTGGTGCACTTGGTCTTGCAGAGATTCTCAGTTCAGTTCACAGCAGCCACATCAGGTGGCTCACTCACATTGTCTTATAGCCCCAGTTCCAGGATTTTGGAAGCCCTCTTCTGGCCTCTGTAGTCACTGCACACATATAGTACACATTTATACTCCTCCCCCATGCTCCACATACATAAAATAAAAAAATTAATTTTAAAAAAGAAAACAGCCATCCAAGAACTAAGAATTGTCCATATATATCATACACTCTTAAATGTTTACAACATTTAACTTGATTAATGCAATAGATTATAAATAAGGACCTTTAAACTCTAATTTTTGCAAAATTAAAAACCTAAAGTAAAAATCAGCATCTGTCCTCAAATTTTAAAGTTTTTAACCAACTTGGAATAAAATGTTACCTGACTTCTAGACTCATTTGGATGAAAAGCTACAGCTTGTCAGCTGCTGTGTACTCTACTCTAACCCTAGACTTCTGACAGTTCCAAAATAAGCAAGTCAGGCTGCTATGTAGCCTTTCCAGCAAGTGTCATCAGCTGCTGAATAATAAAAGCCTCTGCTTCCTTTCTTCCACACAAGCCAAAAAGGAAAGAAGAGTCATCTTGTTAAGTTCTGTCATTCACTGCTCAGAAACAAAGACTCAGTCTGATCTAGAAACCTCCAGGGCTCAGCATTTCCTGTATGCTGCAGCTCTGCATGTTTACCAAGTGCCAGAGCTTGCTTACCACCGTCTCCGATGCTTCCTCTCAGCTTTCCATACCATGTGTGCCTCTTCCAGAATTGTAAATTCTCACCTTTGCTTTCTTTTTCTTTTACATTAATTTTAATCATTGATGTAGATAGGGTAAAATTTATCATTTTAACCATTTTACATGTTGCCTTTTGTTTTAAACATGGATATCAATCCCGAGGTTTTTGTGAATGCTCAAGAAACACTGAGCAGTGTATCTCCAGCTCTTAAATTTTTTTTATGAGTTGGGCATAGTGGTGCATGCCTTTAATCCCAGTACTTGAGAAGCAGAGACAGGCTTCTCTATCAAGACTGAAAAAAAATAGTTTTGTGAGTTTTTACAGGCTTTCTAGTTTCTAATGATTTTTAGTTTTAGAAAGTGATGGATGCTATGTTCAGAAAAATGACAATAAATATGTGTCTGGGAAGGATGTGGAAAGTGATTTAATCCTGTCTGTGATACTTTTGGCATCATATCAGCGTTAAGACAAATGGTTTCCTCTATTCTCCCTGTAAACTGAGCCTGGCAAAAATAGAAGTAAATTGTTGCCTCAGGTTTTCTTAACCTGACTGCCCTTGCATTGAACCACTTCATGTTAAGTTTCTACACTTATCCTCTGTGGACGTCTAAAAGCCTAGCTTGAACCTTACTCCCTTGATGGGTCCAATGTGAAGGTACACAGAATCAAAACTGCTAGCCTCTCAAATGCCAGGAGTTCCATCCTTTCCTGTCTGTAGTATTGGTTCTGTGGATCTCAGTACATGCAAGCATGTGAGAGTGAATAGGGCAGAGGGATAGTCTAAATGAAGGATGAGTAGGATAATTTCTTTCCCCTTTTCTGGAAAGTACTTTTTTATTTTTCATATAATATATCTGAGCAGCTTGGGAAGCTGAATATATCACTTTTAATTGTGATATAGAGCCTTGAATAGTTTTTAAAATATGTTAAGAATGCTTTGAGGACTGAGGAGGTGGCTTATCAGTTAACAGGGGAGCATAGATAAGGGGTAGGTATGGTGGTCTACCTGTAATCTCCATTGGGAGGCAGAGACTAGCCAAATCTTCAAGCTCTAGGTGCCAGTGAGAGACTGTGCCACAATGTGCATAAGGAGGGAGAGTGATCAGAGAAGAGATGTCTACCTTGCTCCCCACATGCATACATGTCTTCCTGTTCATATCAAAGGAACACACACATATACATGCATATAATTATATAAAAGTACACTAAAATGTTGGGGGGGTGTTTTTCCAAACAATTTCTCTGTGTATCTCTGGCTGGCCTCTAACTCAGAGATTCACCTGCCTCTGCCTCCCAAGTGATGGGATTAAAGGTGTGTGCCACCACTACCACCTGACATCACATAAAAATTTTAAAGGTGTTTTGTGTTGGTTATTTATATATTATTTTTTTAAGAAAGGAAGAATATAAGAAAATCAGCCAGTCAATTTTCAAGCATCTAAATGTATGTTTAAATGTTTTTAAAATAAGAGTGTAGTTAGAGGTTAGCAGCTATTTCAAGACAACAGAATAACAATTTGGTGTTTCTGAAATTATAATCTAAATTAATTTTTATACATTGTCTGGCTAGTACAATGTTATGGTACTTAGTTTTGACCATAAGAGAAATTATTAAAGGAACCAGAATATTACTTAGATAAACATGAATTAGAAGTTAAATTTATTGATCTCTGAGCTAATATGTAAAGATTCTCTTATTTTGGAGACTGGAGTCAACATACGTTTAGAGATATTTCCATTGCTCCCCCTTCCCAATACCTTAAAAATATTAGCAGCAGTTTGTACTCTTAAATCATCCTCCATTTTATTCAATCGTAGATGCTTGCTAGTAAAAGCCCAAATCTTGGTGCTCTTTCTTCATTTTTCACCAAGTGAGCTTCCTGTCTCCTGTCTCCACTACTTTAAGTTAGCTCACTGCCTTCTTGCAGCTCTATTTTCCTTGTGCACATTCTGTCTTCTCAACAGGCACTGTGGGTAACAGGAGTTAACAGCAGCGTAGGGAGGGTTGAGCAGACTGTCAGTAACAAGAGTTAAAAGAGCAGCAGAAAGAATTTAAATGATGCACATTCACATTTGAGACTGCCATGGCAATCTCCGATACTGTATAATGTTTTCTATTTTTGTTACCTGCTGTCTGAAATGGAGCTGAAGTGTTACTGACCTTGTGTGGAATGTCTCTGAGGCTTTGGGAGATGGAGCTGGGGGAGGGGGGGGCGAGCGCTAGATTTTCATGTGACTTATCTCTGACATACTGCAGCAGGACTGAAAACACTCATCTGCTCACATAAGGAGGGAAAAATTACAAGATTGAGCTATCAGAATTTGTGCTGTATTTTCAGATTTTTCTCCCTTGTGATTTTCTATTTTACAATTTCACCTGATTTGATAAAGGTTGCAGGTGGGGGGAGGCCTTTTCATACAGTGAGGGATTGAAGGAAGACTGCAATAATGATTCGACTGTAAGGGACTGTTTAAAATCTCCATCTGACAGACGGTTAGTGAGCTCCCTGGCCATCTCAAGTACTTGACAGTAACAATGTACAAATAATAGCTTTATTGGAGTGCCTTTTTCTTCCATACAGATCTTAAGATCATTGTACCTACCTATCCAAGACAGCTGCCTCACTTTAACAAGAGGAGATACACAAATAAGGCGTGTAGTTTCTTCCTTACGTATTCAGTATAATTTCCTCACTTTCTTTTATGACAGAGTTAAATGAAATCTGAGCTTACATTTAGGTTCTGTTAGCTACTGAGTTATGTTAGTTATTTGAAACATGGTAATGACCCAGTAAGGTGTAACTGCCATACTAGACTTCTTAAATGCTGTCTTCCCCTCTCCATATTGCCTTCTTCTCCCCACCCCATGTATTGCTGGAGAATTCTGTGACATTTTACCTCTCATTTTATAGAAAATAAGAGCAGTATATGTGAGTGGTTTTAGTAAACATGGGAAGTTAAACTTGTTATAGGAAAAGAAATAGCTTTATTTTATAATTTAAATCTTAAGTTTTTTGAGATACATTTATATGATTCCAGCTCTGTTAAAAAAAAAAAAAAACAGGAATTTGGGATGATACTTCAAAGAAGAGCCTTGTAAGTTTGATTTGAGGGGAAAACTTAATGCTTTTGTGTTTTTAAATATAATGTATATGATTTTGTTTTTTGACCAATTGTGTTTCGTAGATAGTCCCAAAAAAACCTTTTTGGAGTAAATGTGATATATCATACAGCGTGCTACCTGTATATTATCAATCTTTTACATTTTTCTATGTTATTGCATTCTAAAATTGATGCACACTGGTGATTTAAGGGAAATTAACACACAAATGCCCCTTTTTCTTAATATTGCTCACTGTTTCTCTCGGCCATTCTTATTTAATAGGACAGTGGTAGTTAAGGGTTAAGCATACAGAGCTGATGCAACTCCTCCTTTTCTTCACCAGCGTTTTTCATTGGACAGTATCACCATAGCAACAATGACATCAGTGAAACCTGAGTGTTCTATTGATTAGTTTCTGCCTCTTCCTTTTTTAATCTATCCTTTTTTCACCACATTTTAGTGAGGAAGCATTTTTTTTTTTTTACAAATAGAGCCTATATTGATTTCTATCCCATAAATAATTTAAAGAGGGTAGAAAATTCTGCCCTTCATTTAAAAATTGAATGTTTCAACATGTATTTAAAAAGCGATTCAGGCTTAGGAGGATGGATAGCCATACCAGCTGTAGCTGATGTTCTCAGATATTCTTGCATTGTTTGCTGGTCTTCTAGGGAAAAGAACAATGTGGAACAGGACCTTAAAGAGAAGGAAGACACAGTTAAGCAGAGGACAAGTGAGGTTCAGGTAAGTGAGCTATTTTGCCCTATTTCTAATGTAGGAATGAATATTCATTGTAAATGTATTTTCTAATTGATGGGTATGATATTAGGTCTAGGGAATATCTAATATTTGTATGACATAAATGTTTCTTTTTTTAAATGATGATTGTTGCTCTAAATTCTGCCCTTTAAAAATTATACTGCAATGAGAAAACAGTTTCTTTAAGCACATGTTTATAGATTTAAGAATATTTTAATGATATTTACCTACATATTACTCAATAAAGATAACTTTGAATGACTTGATATAAATAATATTACACCAATAAAATTAAACTGGAGCATCATCAAAAACCAAATTGCTTTTTCATGCATGTAAGGTTTTTTTCAGCTGGGAGACCTACTATTTTCAAGAGTGTTTCTCATGTCACTGTTAGAATGGGGAATGATAGAGAGCAATTTAAAATAACATCTTATGAATTGCTTTATAGCTAAAATACCTGAAACTTTTCATTAAGAAATTTAATTCATTTTTGCTGTTGTATTAGTAATTATATTTTATAAATAGAGGAGATAATAAACCTGTTTCTATTTGACAAATGTGACAATATTGAGCAGTGTTTCAAGTGGCCATGTTTCTGGGGTGCATTTTCTGAGTGCTGTATGTGTGGGCACTGGTAGCAGCTGCCAACAGGAGCTCATGGATAGGCATTTCCTAATATGTTACTTATGTGTTAGATTTTCCTACTTGTACTTTTAAACAGGTAGAAACTGGGGTTTGCTAGATCATTATTTTGTTTTGATAGAGGAAAACCATGCTAGGGTGGGGAAGATGATTCACTAAAGGATTGAGGAAGCCAAGGAGACTTGTGGTTGGTAGTTGACTCTGATTGGATGACTGCATTAATTTATTTTTTGGAATTTTCCTAAAAGTGGTATGAAAGTCAAGAGATTTATTGCCAACATTTCTCTTTCTGCTATTGCTAAAGGGTGTGGACTGGTAAGCTGATTGAGTTTCGTTGTTTTGTGTGAGCCTCTTGAAAAAATGCCAACAGGAAAACTTATTGCTGGACACAGCTTTGGAACAGAGGATAAAAATCTACAAAGGTTTTTTTTTTTTTAATACGAAATAGATATAGTCACTGGTATAGTCATAGACATCCTCTATATTTAACCAGCTGCTATCCTAAAATACACAAGTTCTTATCATAGATAATATTTTGTTATTACATTTCTGGGGAAAAACAAATAGGATGGACATTTAAATAGCCAGTTTAGGAAAGATCTAAAATTTATATTGGTCCTTCAATATCCTCAAATATTTATAATTATAGAAGTTTTGTTGCTAAATTTTTCCATAATGTTCTTGCTCATCTTCCTTAATGGTGTTAGTAGAATATTACTAAACTTTGTGATATCCAAAATGTATGATTGACACATGAAATCTGACTGGCTTCTGCATAGGGTACTTCTAATATGAGGCATCTCAGATCTTGCGTAGTGTAGAACAAGTTGTGATGGCTGAAATTAAATTCACTGAAAAGTAACATTGAGATTAATGGAGTTCTGGGTTAGTGGAGTCATCTCTGTGTTATCAATGGTAATGAGATGCTAGACCCCAGACAAGTGGAATTCATTCCTACTGAATTAGCTCTGACTTACCCTGTCATAACGAGGTGCAGACTAGGAGCAACACTGACAATTAAAATCTGTCATTCCATCTTTCAGCACTTTCTTTTCTTTTTTCCTTTTTGAAACAGAGTTTCGCGTAAGTCAAGCTGACATTGAACTCATTGTGTAACTGAGGATGACCCAGACCTCCCAAATACAGAGATTACAAATGTGCACCACCATGGCCTGCTTTCAATATTACTTTTCTGTTTTTTCTGGTAAAAGGCCATTTACTAGAGCTATTTCAAATAGCAGAATCTCAAAATGTATGCTTGGCTACTTCCTGGCTCCACTTTGTAAAGGAGGTGCTAATGAGAAATGGAAGTAAAGACATTTCAGTCTGTTGTTGAGTGTCCTACCTTGTCTCTTTTGAGTGCTGGTGTTTCTCCAGCTAATTAAATAACATGATTACATAAACTCAGTTCTCAAGCATAGAAATTAAAGTTTTAAAACCAAAAGCCTTAATATTTTACTTAGTTTTATTTTATGAATGTTTTGCTTGCAAGTATGTATTGCGCCATGTAACACCTGGTGTCTACAGAGAGCAGGATCCCTCGAACTTGAGTTACAGGCAGTTGTGAGCCACTGTGTGGATGCTAGGAAATGAGCCTAGGTCCTCTGCAAGAGCAGCAAGTGTTCTTAGCTGCTGAGCCATCTTACCAACCCTACCTTGAGTTTTTTTGTTGGTCTTATTTTTGTTTTTGTATTGATGCTGGTGATTGACCTCAAGGCCTCACGTGTTTCCTCACTGGGCTGCACTTCATCCAAGTTGTTGGTTTGTGTTTATATATGCTCACTACTTTAAAGTAGAATATTGCTTTTCTAGGTTTTTCTTTCTTGTGTGATCTATGAGCTCACACCTTGAAATATTTTCTTTCTTCTCTATGATCCCTGTCACTCTGGCACTGATGGCTGATCACAATTAGATCTCTGCCTCTTGAGTGCACTTGTACATTTCCAGTCAGCCATTTTAGTGTTTATCGTTAAAAGTTGGTCTGTCTTAAAATAAATCTTGTTGGGAAAAAAAAATGCCTTCAAGTCTGGACTTCCTATTCCTGTCAGTACTTTCCTTATTACTGTCTTACCTCAGATTTATATACGGGCTGAGGAAATGTCTCAGTGAATAACAGTACTTGCTATACAAGCATGAAGACCCAAGCTAGAATTCCCAGCACCCACATAAAACCCGAGGCATTACTGCATGTACTTGTAACCCCATTACAGTATAACAGGTCTGCTAACCACCTACCTAACTCTAGGTTGAGTCAGAGACCCTGTCTCCGAGTATTAAGATGGAGAGTGATAGAGCTGGACATCTGAATCCTTCTCTGAGTTTTGCAGATCTGCATGGGCACCAGAAGGCACAAGCATAAATGTGTACTTACACCACAAACATACAGATAAATATACTATCATATAAACATGTGCTCACACACACATTCCAGATTTCCATCTTAGATTATGTGTTTCTTGATCTTGGAAATTTTGCTTTGGATCATATATGTCTTCTACTGTATTTGGAAATATATTGCTAGATATTTAAGGAAGCTGTTTAAATAAAAATACACTTTGTTCTTATGCATCAAATTAAAAATAGTACAGAATGTACCCAGATCCCACTGGCTAGAAGGATTGGGAACGTAGTAAGTAGTTATAAAGTCCTACTTTTATTTGACTTGGTTCATAGTAATGTCACATAAAAGGAAGCTCCTGGATATTTATATTTCATTAGTTAAGAATTAGTAACTCAGGCTAGAGAGATGGCTTAGCAGTTAAGAGCACTTGCTGTTCTTCAGAGGTCTTAGGTTTAATTCCCAGCACCCAAATAGTGGTTCACAACCATTTGTGTCTCCAGTTCCAGAGGATCCTATGCCTTCTTTATGGCCGCTGTAGGTACCCAGCACTCATGTGGTGTACATACATACATAGAGGAAAATCTCTTATACACATAAAGTAAAATCTAAGCCAGGCCATGGTGGTGCACGCCCTTAATCCCAGCACTTGGGAGGGAGGCAGACAGAGATCTCTGTGAGTTCGAGGCCATCATTAGTGCAGGCCAGCCAAAGACAGAGAAATCCTGTCTTGAAAAACATACATACATACATACCTACACACACACACACACATACATACAGTTAAAAAAATCTAAAAGACTTTTAAACTTGGAAAACGAGTTAGTAACTCAGACTAATTGTCCATTTTTTTTTCATTTTTTCTTTGTTAGTTTGTTTGTTTTGCAAGACAAACTATGTAGCTATGGAGCCAGACCTGGAACTCACTCTATAGACCAGGCTGGCCTCAAACTCACAGAGATTCGCTTGCCTTTGCCTCCTGAGTGCTTTATTTTAATTCACTTATTTGACTTTTTATCTCCAAGTAAAAAAGTTTTGTAGTTGGATAAACAAGTTTTATTATTGACTTCAGTGGGGTTTTCTTGTATTATGGATTTTGTTGTTATTGTTTTGTTTGTTTGAGGCAGGACCCCACTATGAAATCCAGAATTGCTGTAATTTACTATGTAACCCATAACTGGTCTTGAACTAGAGGTCCCCCGTCTACACCTCCCAGATGCTAGAATTGCAGGCATATGTCACTGTCTTTCTTTCACTCCATGTTGTTCTTTAATGAAATAGACATACCTTTCCATGTTGCTAATATTTCATAGGTTTAATAGTTAAATTACTTCTTCAGTAGTACATCAGACTCGGGTTACTGAAATGAGTTATTTTAATATCTTTAATATGGCTTAAGAGTTTTGTGTGTTTAAATTTTATTTATACAAAGCTCCTCATGATGTGTGGAGGGGTGGGGATAAGTTTGTCAGTTTCAGTATCTTGAGTAGTTTCTAGAAAACAGAACATTTTTCTTGACATTTCTTTCTCAATGAATCCAAGATTCCCAGGTCATATATCCTTTTATTCCTGAATGAGACATCTTAGATGAATCTGGTTGTGGTCTTTTTCTAAAGTAAACTTTGGCACCTTGTCTCACCATTTTTGTTCATTTTGTCCCTGCTACTCCCCTTGCTGCCATCCTTCTTCCCTCTGTGGTCCAGAGCATCATGAGGCTGGTAGAAGAGAAGCAGGAGAGCACCTTCCGGAGTCTCCAGTAACTCACTGGATTATCCAAGTGCTAGGAGAACACGCACTCCCTGAGTGAGGGTGTGCTGGGGGTGGAGAATGCAGGAGGAGGGACAGGAGAGTTGTGCTTTTGTGCCTTTATTTAGTTCCAGGATAAGCAAAGGATAAGAAAATTTGGGCCAAAATAAAATAGCCAAGTAGATCTAGATACAGATAATAATGTAGAAGTTGCATTGGGGGGGGGGGCGCCTTTTTAAGTATGTTAGTGGTAAAAGTTCTTTCTTACTCTTATTAGCATATAAGTTGTAACTTTTTGTTTTGACTTAATTTTAAATCTGTTTACTAAAAGCAAATATCCTTTTGCTGTGGGTTTTTGTTGGAAATATTTTCTTAATATTGTTTTATTTTTAGCCTTTCTTTGTAAAGATTTTTTTTTTTTTAGTGAGTGCATGTTTGCCTGAATGTGTATGTATGTGGGCCATGTGCATACCTGGTGCTAGTGAAGTATGTGTTGGGATTTCTCCTGCTCTGAACAGTAATGAGCCATCACCAACCATGTGGGTGCCAGGAACCAAACCTAAATCTTCTGAAAGAGCAGCAGGTGCTCCTAACTGCTAAGTCATCTCTTGTTTTATTTTCCGCTTTTAAGACAAGGTTACACTTTGTAGCCTCTGGTGACCTAGAATTTACTGTAGCTGAGGCTAGATTTGAACTCACAGCAGTCATTTTGCCTCACTCCTGAAAGTGCTGGAATTAAAGGCATGAGCCAGCATGCCTGCATTATTTTTTAATTTTTATAGAGATGGCTTCCTTTTTTCATGCTGATTCATGGAGAAATACTATTTTTTTATTTTATGTATGTGCATTGGTATTTTGACTGCATGTATGTCTTGTGAGGGTGTCAGAAACCCTGCAACTGAAGCTACAGACTAGTATGAGCTGCCATATGGGTGCTGGGAATTAAACACAGGTCTTCTGGAAGAAAAACCAGCCCTCTTAACCTCTGAGCCATCTCTCCAGCCCTAGAAATACTATTTTTATATGGTCATTGATTAGTGTTTAAGTATTTCCTAGAGGTATTTTATCAGTAAACTTTTCTTTAAGGCCTGTACTTTTGTGTTACAAGATAGGTTTTCACTGCAGTGAAGGAAAAAGGAAAGGCAATAAGATTGGATTAACTGAGTGAGACTATTTTGCTCTTACAAGAGAAAGGGTAGGACTGAGTATATATTATATTGATTTGTTTATTCTCTTTTCTCTTGTGAAAGGTTATAAATATAAAGGTTCTCTTCTGAGGCTATAAATTGCTCAATAAAAATACGGATCACAGGCAGATCTCTGTGAGTTCGAGACCAGCCTGGTTTACAAGAGCTAGTTCCAGCACAGGCTCCAAAGCCACAGAGAAATCCTGTCTCGAAAAACCAAAAAAAAAAAAAAAAAAAGGAATTTCAAGTTTGCCTTTCTAAAAACCTTAATTTGTTGTTTTATGTGTATGGATCTTAATTTGTTATTTTATGTATATAGATGTGTCTGGTGTTCAAAGAACCACCTAGAAAAGGGCATCAGGGCAGGTCCCCTGGAACTGGAGTTATAGGTAGCTATGAGCCACCACATGGGTGCTAGGAATTGAACTTCGGTCCTCTTGAACCACTTAAACCACTAGGCCATCTCTCCAGCTCAGCCCCCCCTCCTTACTTTTAAAATAAAAGTATCACATCTCTGGTGATTTTACTAATTTAAAAATATTCTTATGTTACTGATTTCTTTTTATGTAAGAATTCTCAAAACAGTATCAATATTGGTTCCTTCAATATACTGAACTATTTTTTTTAATATTTATTTATTTATTATGTATATAATATTCTGTCTGTGTGTATGCCAGCGGACCAGAAGAGGGCACCAGACCCCATTACAGATGGTTGTGAGCCACCATGTGGTTGCTGGGAATTGAACTCAGGACCTTTGGAAGAGCAGGCAGTGCTCTTAACCTCTGAGCCATCTCTCCAGCCCCACACTGAACTATTTTTAAAAACTTTTTTTTAAATTTTGTTTTGTTTTGTTTTGTTTTTTTCAAGACAGGGTTTTTCTGTAGCTTTGGAGCCTGTCCTAGAACTAGCTCTTGTAGACCAGGCTGGCCTTGAACTCACAGCGCTCCACCTGTCATTTCTAGAGTTTGAAAGTTGCTTATTTCTTGTTTGCTTAGGTAATATTGTATCTTTCTGGAGTCTTTGATGGAGTTGAAGAATAGTTAGTTATAGTTTTCCTTAGTTATGATAAAGATAAAATAGATGTAAATATTGTAATTTTTACTTGATAACTGTTTTGTTATATGTAATTTTGCTATGTTAAAGTTAAAGCCTTCCCTTTTTTTTTTTGTTTAAACAGAAAAAGGGGAAATGATGGAGGAAGGTCATTGGTTAATTAATAACCTCCTGAGAGCTGGGATTAAAGGCGTGTGACACCAACAAAATTTCTTAATTACAGAAAATAAAATGGGTCACAGTAAATCTGTAAAATGCATAGCTAGCAAAATGGCTCGTCAGGTAAAACCTAGGAACCTGAATTTGGTCCCTGGGACCCATATAGTTAAGACTCGACTCTCACAAGTTGCCCCCTTCTTAACAGACACATACACCGAAAAGCAAAACACACAGTTAATGAAATGTAACCATTAAAGCATGAGAAATAAGGAAGCTTTTTTAATCAGTGAATCCTTAACATTTGCTGTATTTTATATACATAAATGGTTTCATATATATGATCATACTATATATACCTTTCTATTCAGCTTTAAAAAATATTTTCCTTCTTTGAGTTTATATTAAAAGACATTTATGTGATTATAAAGACTAAAAATTATTAGAGAATGTGAAATTCTAGATTTTTGTTTGGGTTGTAGAGAAAGAAATTGGACCACTGTGGATAGGTCTGTGTAGCACTGGTTGTCCTGGTAGTCACTGTGTAAACCGGGTGTCTTAGGGTTTCTATTGCTGAGATGATAGAACATGACCAAAAAGCAAGTGGGGGAGGGTTGTTTGCTTACACTTCCACATCACTCTTCATCATGGAGGAAGTCAGGATAGGAACTCAACCAGGTCAGGAACCTGGAGGCAAGAGTTAATGCAGAGGCCATGGAAGAGGGCTGCCTACTGACTTACTCCTCATGGCTTGCTCAGTCTGCTTTCTTATAGAACTCAGGACCACCAGCCTAGGGATTGCACCACCCACAATAGGCTGGGCCCTCCAATATCAATTACTAATTTAAAAAAAATGCCCTATAGCTGCATATTATGACAATATTTTCTCAATTGAGGTTCCCTCCTTTAAGATGACGTTAGCTCTGTCAAGTTGGTATAAAATTAGCCAGCACACCAGGCTGCCCTCAGAGCCAGAGATCTGCCTGCCTCAGCCTCTGGAGTGCTGGAATTAAAGAAGGTGTGTGCCATCACACCCAGCCGACAGTTTTTTTTTTTTTTTTTTTTTTTTGAGTGGCTGACGTGCTGCAAATACATGCAAAGGTAGCTCAGTGGAGGCAGTATACCCCATTGGAAGGTAGCTGTCTGAAAGGGGATTTACACCAGCATTGCGGGGAGGATTTGCTGGCAGGCTAGAGACAAAAAGAGAAAGAGTGGAAGAAGAGGCCATGGATTTGACCAGAAGGTAGAGGCTAAGGCAGATGTGGGTAAATGGTACACCTCTGTTTTGACATGCTAGAGAAGTCAGACAGACATCCAATGCCAGATCTGAGTAAGCAAACTAAATGTCCAGATCTTCAAGAGGTTACTTGCTGTGGAATAATACTTTTATATACTGTGAATATGTATTATTCTCATTGTTTAATAAGTTGACAGGCCGATAGCCAGGCAAAAAGTGTAGGTGAGACAATCGAACGGAGGATACTGGGATGAAGAAGGGCAAAGTCAGGGTGAGACACCAACCAGCCTCCGGGGAATCAGGACATGTAGAAAATAAGGTAACAAGCCATGAGCCATGTGGTGGGGGCATAGATAAGAAATATGGGTGAATTTAAGTGTAAGAGTGGGCTAGTAACAAGCCTGCACTATTGGTCGAGCTTTTATAAGTAATATTAAGCCTCTGAGTGATCATATGGGAACTGCTGGGTGGGAGACTACTCAACCACTATGTCTGACTACGATTACTTGAAGGCTGTATGTAAAATAGAAAGCTTTAGTCCCCCCAAAAAAATATGTAATAAAACAAGATTTGGTTTTCCCTTAAAAATTCACCTGTCTATGCCCTCAAAGATAAATGTGTGTGTTTTCTTGTGTTTTAGGATCTTCAAGATGAAGTTCAAAGGGAGAGTGTTAACCTGCAAAAACTACAGGCCCAGAAGCAGCAGGTGCAGGAACTCCTTGATGAGCTGGATGAGCAGAAAGCCCAGCTGGAAGAGCAGCTCAAGGAAGTTAGGAAAAAGTGTGCCGAGGAGGCCCAGATGGTAAAACCTGGCTGTTTACTGACTCTCTGCTTCCTTTGCTTTCCTGGTTACAAAGGAAGCATCCCCTACTTGTTAAGCAGCAGTCTCGTCTGCAGTAACTTTATGAAAGAGTTAGAGTTACTGTTCTCTGTAGTAGAAATTAGAGGAGCTCTGTTTTTCCAGATCTTGATCACATGAGACTTTTGCCTCCAAGTTTCTATTAGCCCCTTCTGCTACCAAAAGAATACATCAAAAATTCCAAACCGGGCTGGAGAGATGGCTCAGCTGTTATGAGCACTGACTGCTCTTCCAGAGGTCCTGAGTTCAATTCCCAGCAACCACATGGCGGCTCAAAACCACCTATAATGAGATCTGGTGTCCTCTTCTGGCCTACAGGCAGGATACTGAATAAACAAACAAACAAACAAACAAACAAATAAACAAATAAATAAATAAATAATCTTTTTTTTAAAAAAAAATATCCAAACCATGAAACTAGATATATCTCTTCGCTTAATTCCCTTTCCTCTCATTCATCTCCACTTGTAGATCTCTTCCCTGAAAGATGAAATAACTAGTCAAGAATCTCAGATCTCCACTTATGAGGAAGAGCTGTCAAAAGCTAGAGAAGAACTAAGTCGCCTACAGCAAGAAACAGCACAATTGGAAGAGAGTGTGGAGTCAGGAAAGGCTCAGCTGGAACCTCTTCAGCAGCACCTGCAGGAATCACAACAGGAGATCAGTTCAGTAAGTGGAAGCCAACAGCATGCCTGGAGGGCCCTTGTCTGTCCTTTCTTTACTGTCTGACTTCTCCTTCTTTACCTAAGTATTGATTCTCTTTAGTTGTTTAATACTTACAGTTGCCAGTTGGACAGCTGATGGTCATTTACATAAGTATGGGCTTTGGAGTTAAACTGTCCGGGTTTAAATGCTGGTTCTGCCATTTATTAGACAAATCACCTTTGAATATCAGATTTTTTCATCTTTAAAGTTGAAGATTTAACAATACATTAGTGCTATTATAAGGATTATATGAGGCAAAAGATGAGGTAGTTTAACATAGTGTCTGACACATAAATTCTCAGTAAATATTGTCTGAAAGGTATTTTTGTTGTTTTTTAAAGATTTATCTGTTTATTATATATATAGTGTTCTGTCTGCATGTGTTCCGACTCGCCAAAAGAGGGTACTAGATCTCATTATATACAGATGGTGTGAGAATCACGTGGTGGCTGGGGATTGAACTCAGGACGTCAGGAAGAGCAGCCAGTGCTCTGCGCCATCTCTCCAGCCTGTCTTGTTTGTGTCAGTGTGACACAAGCCAGAGTCACGGGGAGGAGGAGCCTCCTTTGAGAAAATGCTTCCATAAGATGGGCTGGAGGCATTTTCTTCAAGATTGATGGGGGAAAGGCCCAGCCCATGGTGGGTGGTGCCATCTCTGGGTTGGTAGTCCTGGGTTCTATGAGAAAGCAGGCTGAGGATGGCATGAGGAGCAAGTCAGTAAGCAGCACTCCTCCACGGCCTCTACATCAACTCTTGCCTCCAGGTTCCTAACCTGGCTGAGTTCCTGTCCCGACTTCCTTCCATGATGAAGAGTGATGTGGAAGTGTAAGCCCTTTCCTCCCTGGTCATGGTGTATCATCACAGCAGTGATAACCCTCACTAAGTTGGAACATCTTGTCTTCTCTTGGGTTTCTGATTTTTAGATCAGTTTTATTCATTGAAATAATTTAGTTTTCTTGTTTCTGCTTTTTTATATATTTAATATATAACATAAAATTATATATTTTATAATTTTAAATGTAAATATATAAAAATAAACATAAAAATCTTTTATTTAATCTGTTATAATTGAATTCTGCCTTTTATGTCCCACTTTGGAATTCATTTGAATAGTTGAGGCTGAAACAGCTTTATGCTTTGTTTAATGAACTTTGTGTGACTCAATATTTGAAGATACGTTCTAGGACTCTTCTTTCCCATTAATAGATAGCGCCAGGACACAGGGCATTCACTTGCTTACCCTTACCTTCTTTAACTTCCTGTAGCTCCCCTACAGCTTTATTGCTGAATCTTCATCCTCTCTGTTACTTGGCTATCTTTTCCTCTGGTATCCTGGGTCTGTCTTTTTCTAATTATACCCTGAAAGACTGCCAGTTCTCAGATACTGAGACAGAATTCTTGGAGATTTCACAAGACTTACAAAACAAATACATGCCTGCTAAAATTGCAGGAGGACTCATTGGGAAAGATTATTGAAATATTTAAGTCATACTTCATTCCCAGAGGATTCTCCTAATAGAAAGCAAACTCATCCTTGAATAAGTCTAGGGGCATACCTCTTTGTATGATACATATACTTCTAATATTAAATTGTTTTGTATTTCTGCTTTGTATTGGCAGATGCAAATGAGACTGATGGAGATGAAAGATCTGGAAAATCATAATGACCAATCAGATTGGCGCGATAGCCCACAAAGCATTCTTGTAAATGGTGCTACAGATTATTGTAGCCTCAGCACCAGCAGCAGTGAAACAGCCAACCTGAATGAACATGGTGAAGGCCAGAACAATCTAGAGTCTGAGCCCATACACCAGGAGTCATCAGTGAGTCTTTATTCGTGGTCTTCATAATTAGTGTCTGCTCCCCGCGTCTTTCTCATAGAGACAGAGAGAGAGAGAGAGAGAGAGAGAGAGAGAGAGAGAGAGAGAGAGAGAGAGAGAGAGACTGATAAAGATCAGAGTTTGTGTGAATATACTTATGCACATGTGTAGAGGCCAGAGGTCTTCAAAGTGTCATTCCTCAGATTTTTTTGTTGTTGTTGTTGTTTTTGTTTTTTTTTTGGTATGGGATCTCTCACTGAGATCTGAACTTCACTGATTGGATTGGAATGGCTGGCCAGCAAGCCCTAGGTATCTGTCGACACCTCCCTTGTCTTGGGATTCCAAGCCCACACCACCATGCTTGGCTTGGAATACATCCACATGGATGCTGGGGATCTGAACTCAGGTCCTCATGCTTGAGTTACAGCACTTTATCCATTCGGATAGCTTCCTAGCCCCATAGCCAAGTTTTGTTAGCATTGTGTATGATACAAAGAATGACAATTTTTTAAAGATATTTTTAATTTTTATTTATGTATGTGTGTTCAGCTGCCCACAGAAACTGGAAGAGGGTGTCAGATCCTTTGGAGCGGGAGTTAACAGGCAGTTTGAGCTGTCTGGTGTGGTGCTGGGACTCGAACTTGGGTCCTCTGGAAGAACAGCTGGTGTTCTTAATTCTTAAGCCATCCCTTTAGCCTCAATAATTGAAATTCTTTCTTTTCAAGTTTTTTTTTTGTTTGCTTATTTTTTGTTTTGTTTATTGAGAAAGGGTTTCTCTGTGTAGCTCTGGCTGTCCTGAAACTCACTCTGGCTGGCCTCAAGCTCAGGGATCTGCCTGCCTCTACCTCCTAAGTACTGGGTTTAGAGGTATGTGCCACCACACCCAGCTTTTTTTCAGTTTTAACTAATGTTCAAATTATTCTAATTAATGAAATTAAAGATTTTTTAAATGCTATGGTGTTATCATACTGGCCACAACGTTAATTTGAAGCTAAGGATGGTGTTAAGCTCTTTTTTAATTTGATGTGTCTGTGGAGTAGTGTTATCTAGTGTGTTCACCTGTGATTGCATTCATCCACATGTGCAAGTGTAGAGGCCAGAGTTCAGTTTTGGTCTTCTGATGCCACTCTCTACCTTAGTTTTGAGACAGGGTCTCCTCACTGAAAACAGAGCTTGTGTTCTAGTTAGACCAGTGGTGTCTACCTGTCTCTGCCATCCCAGCACTGGGGCTACAGTTAGACACCACTATCCCTGGCTTTTATTTGGGTGCTCTGAACCTGAACTGAGTTAGTTCTTGATGCTTGTGCATAAAGCACTCTACCCATTTATTATTTATATATCCTAAATATATAAATACCACTTGTTCAGTCCATATAATGTTACTTATGTGTGTTATAAGTTCAGAGCTTACCACTTAGCATTGAATATGAAAAGGTTTTTAAAGGGGCTAGGCATGTAGCATAGTGGCAAATCGTTTTCATAACATGCAAGAGGCCCTGGATTTAATCCCCAATACCAAAATAAATTTTAAAACACCAGTATATGTACAGTTTTAAAAATGCACACCTTTATATTCCAGCACTCAGGAGTCACATTGAGCCTCTGTGAGTTTGAGGTCAGTCTGGTTTACACAGTGAGTTCTAGGCCAGTGAGTATCGCACAGTTGGGGGGTAGGGGCCTGGTATTGACATGCCACAATATTCTGTGGAATCGAGACAAAAACTAGCAGCAGTTGTTTCCACTTCTTCTAAGTGAGTCCTGAACAGAGGTTGTTGGGTTTTGCAGCATCAAGCCACCTCACCAGCCTGAGACAAAAGATTCTTAAACCTTCATACTCACATATGTATTTTTGGTAGGTGAGAAGTAGTCCTGAAATAGCACCTTCTGATGTGACTGATGAAAACGAAGTTGTGACTGCAGCTGGTAATGAAAAAGTTAGTCCCAGATTTGATGATGACAAGCAGTCAAAAGAGGTGAAGATAATTATATATTCAATTGTTCTTGTCACTCATGTCTTAAATGTTCTTTGTAGCTGCAAGAATATTTACTAAGTTTTCAAAGTTTGTATATGATCTAAATGTGTGTCACTTGAAGTATTATCTTTTAAATGTTTGGTTACTAAAAGATCTGTTTTAATTGAAAATTATTTCTAGGAAGATCCATTTAATGTAGAATCAAGTTCACTGACAGATCCAGTTGCAGATACAAACTTGGATTTTTTCCAGTCTGATCCTTTTGTTGGCAGTAAGTATCTTTCTTTTATAAGTATATTCAAAATAAGGCTTTCTGGTGTATAAACTATATAAGCATTGAGGCTTCAATTTTGAAAGCCTTTTTAAAAATTGTTTGTATTGAGCTATATATTTCTCTGCTCCCCTTCCTTCCTCCTCCTCCTCCTCCTCCTCCTCCTCCTCCTCCTCCTCCTCCTCCTCCTCCTCCTCCTCCTCCTTCTACCCTCTCCTTTCATCCCCATGCTCCCAGTTTGCTCAGGAGAGCTTGTCTTTTTCTACTTCCCATGTAGATTAGATCCATGTATATCTCTCTTTTTTTGTAAATATTTTTATGGTTTATTTATTTTATTTTATGTGCATTGGTGTGAAAGTGTCAGATCCCCTGGAACTAGATCTTTAGACAGTTGTGAGCTGCCATGTGAGTGCTGGGAACTGAACCCAGGTCCTCTGGAAGAGCAGTCAGTGCTCTTAACCACTGAGCCATCTCTCCAGCCCCGATGTATATTTCTAGAGCTATCTTGTGAAGTAAAGTGAGTTTGGTATCATGGTTGTATGCTTTTAATTCCAGCCCTTGGTAAGCAGAAGTGTGAGGTTTGAAGCCAATCTGATCTACATAGCTAGTTCCAGCCAGGGCTACATAGTGAACCCTAAGCTCAAACAAAAAAAGGACTGGAGATGGTTCAGCAATAAAGACCACTTGCTGCTCTTGTAGAGGACCTGTATTCAGTCCCCAGCACCCACATGGCATCTCACAACCATCTGTAACTCTAGTTCCAGAGGATCTGATACCCACTTTTATCTTTCTTTGGCATCAGACATGCGTATGGTGCATAGACATGTGAGCAAAACACTTATACACCTAAAAGAAAAGTAAATCGGACTGGAGAGATGGCTCAGAGGTTAAGAGCACTGACTGCTCTTTCAGAGGTCCTGAGTTCAATTCCCAGCAACCACATGGTGGCTCACAACCATCTGATCTGGTGCCCTCTTCTGGCCTGCAGGGATACATGCAGGCAGAACACTAAATACCTAATAAATAATAAATCTTAAAAAAAAATAAAAGTAAATCAAATATATACAAACAAGCAAAAAACAAAAGATATGAAACTAAGGCACACAGGCAAAATAACTTACCTAATAGTCATGGCAGAAATGAGCCCAAATATTTGAACTCTTTAAATAAACAAACACAAAACAATTTTTGAAATGTATAAAGCACCAGGAATAAACTTAAGTTTTATACTTAAAATATATAGAGCTTGGACTGGAGAGATGGCTCAAAGATTAAGAGCAGTGGCTGCTCTTCCAGAGGTCTTGAATTCAATTCCCAGCAACCACATGGTGGCTTACAACCATCTTTAATGAGATCTGATGCCTTGTTCTGGCCTTCAGGCATATGTGCAGGCAGAACACTGCATACATAATAAATTTTTAAAAACTAATATATACACGTGTATATGTATCTCTATATTTCTCTATATAGAGAAATACTGTATTTACATATATAGAGATATACTGTATATAGGCATAGAGAGAGATGTGTGTATACATACATACATATACATATACATATACATATACATATACATATACATATACATATACATATATATATATATATATATGAGAGAGAGAGAGAGAACATGCTGAGGTTGTGACTCAACAGTACTTGTCTAGCAGGCATGATCTGTAGAAGAACATTTACAGTTTTATAATCCTCACCACAAAAGATGGATGATAACAAATATCTGAGGATATATAGAAATTAAAACCACCATACACTACTGATGGGAATATTAAATGATTTTTTTGTCTTTGAAAATGGTTTGGAAACTTCTATGCCAGTAATTAAACAGAATTATTGTAAGACCTGATATGTAATCAGGAGGAATAGATGTATACCCACATAAAACCTTGTATGTTTTTGCTTGCTCCCCCCTAACCCCCCCTTTCTTTAAGAGACAGACTTTCTCCTTGTAGCCATGGCTGTCCTGGAACTCTGTAGGCCAGGCTGTAAAAACATGTATGTTGATATTGATCAGTCCGTCATTTTTTTCTCCTTTGCAATTAGTCTTGTCTTTTTTCCTGATGTATGTGAACATGAGTACAGAAGCCAGAGGCATTGGATCCCTCTCAAGTTGGAGTTGCAGGCAGTTGTAAGGTGCCCAATTTTGGTGCTAGGAATTGCTCCTTGGCAAGAGCAGTATACACTCTTAAATGCTAAGTCATATCTCTAGCCCCATTTGTCTTTTTACTGTTTATTTATAAGAGCTTTTTACATGTTCTAAGTAAAACTCTCTGATATATGATCTGAAAATATTGTGTGTGTGTGTGTGTGTGTGTGTGTTGAGATGAGACAGTTTCTCTTTATGTAGCTCAGGCTGCCTGAAACTAGTGACAGTTTTCTTGCCTCATCCTCCTGAGTGTTTATTATAGGCATGAGCATTTATACTCCTGTTTTTCTTCCAAGAAATTTATAGCTGTTATATCTAGAACTTTGAGACTGGAGGAATGACTTAATGATTAAGAATACTTGCTGCTTTCCCAGGCTGAATTCAGTGCCCAGCACCTATATCAGATAGCTCTCTCCAGGAGTCCGATGCCCTCTGGCCTCTGTGGGCACCTGCACACATGCATGCTTGCTCACATGCACACACACACACACACACACACACACACACACACACAGAGATTATTGATCTTTAGAGCTTTGATTTAGTTAATTCTATATCTAGTACGAGGTAAAGATCTTTCCTGATAGCTGGGTGTTAGTAGTGCACACCTTTAATACCAACACTTGAGAGGCAGAGGCAGGCAGATCTCTGTGAGTTCAAGGCTAGCCTGGTCTACAAGAGCTGGTATCAAGACAGCCAGGGTTGTTACACAGAGAACCCCTGTTCTCTTGAAACGCCAACCCCCCTCCAAAAAGAGAAAGAAATCTTTTCTGTTGTCCAAATACCATTTGTTTTGTTTTGTTTTGTTTTGTTTTGAGACAGGCTATCCTGTAGTCTAGGCTAGCCTCAGGCTCCCTATATAACTGCTCATCCTCCTGCCTCCACATCCAAATGCTGGGATTATGATGTATACCATCACACCAGACGTATGGAGCTCTGGGGATGAAGCTCAGGACTTTGTTCTACTGGGAAAGGACTCAGCTAACCTGGCTACATCCCCAGCACCCAAATGCCGTTGGTTGAAAAAACTGTCCTTTCACTCTTTTCGCATCATGTGTTCTTGATATTCTTGTCAAAATTCAAGTGGCCTTAACTTTGAGAGTTTATCTCTGTCTTCTTCAATTTATGAGGGTTTTTTTGTTTGTTTTGTTGTTTTTGCCTTAGTCTTTCTTTATTTCATGAAGTGCTAAGGGTAATATCTACCTAGTAGCCAGGAGTAGAGATTTTGTTGGTATGACTTCACTTTTGTGTCCCTATCTATAGCCTCTTTCAGTCTTTGTTTTACTTCCTGTAACCTCTTTTGGTCAAGGGTAAGTTTATTTGGTTTTTACATTAGTTACTCTTCTGTTGCTCTGATAGACACCATGACCAAGACCGCTTACGGAAGAAAGAGTTTACTTGGTTTACAGTTCCAGAGGGTTGGAGGCTATAATGGCAGGGACAGCATGGCAGCAGAAAGCTTCAAGGTCTTTGAACTCTCAGAGCATTCCTACTGTGGCACACCTCTTCTAACAAGGCCATACCTAACCTAAACCTCCCCAGTGACACCAACTAGAACCAGGAGATCAAATGCCACAGACTGTGGGGTACATTTTTCATTTAAACCACCATAGTTCTAATTTGCCTTTTTATATGAGGTGTGTTGAATCATCATTTATTTTTTCATTATTTTAAATCTTTTCTAAAGTGAATACCATAATTTTATTTACTTTGAAGTAGAATTATTGAATCCATTAAGTTATTGTTTGTTTTAAAAACACTCTTCTCAACAATATACATAATAATTTGTATGTGTGTGTGTGTTTTTGTTTTTTGAGACAGGGTTTCTCTGTGTAGTCTTGGCTTTCCTGTAGACCAGGCTATCCTCATACTCACAGAGATCCACATGCCTCTGCTTCCTAAATGCTGGGATTAAAGGCATGAACTGTATTTTCATCTCTGTTTTCTTCTTTTGTCACAGGTGATCCTTTCAAGGATGATCCTTTCGGAAAAATTGGTCAGTATATTTTTTTTTAGTTTCTTCTTTAATTCTTTTCTGCTTAACTATAACCTTTTACTGTATTTTGAGGCAAGAACACACAGCTTGGGTTGTCCTAGGAGGGGAACTGCTTTTTATTAAAACTGCTTTAAAGCCAAGGCAAGATGCTAAAATATTTAGAGAGTGATTAGAGCCTTGTGAGTGTGCATGTGCATGCATGCGTGTGTGTGTGTGTGTGTGTGCACGTATGATTAAACTCAGGGCTTTGCACATGCTAGGCAAGTATTCTGCTATACCTCCAACCCAAGCCTCACTTTTTTTTCCTTTTTTTGGGTTTGGTTGGTTGGTTTGTTTGTTTGAGACTGGGTTTCTCTGTAGCTTTGGAGCCTGTCTTGGAACTAGCTCTTATAGAGCAGGCTGGCCTTGAACTCATAAAAAAGGGATTGTGAGGTTCTGCAGGAATTCAAGTGACTTTTTAGTTTTTGAAAGTCAAGCAAAGTCTGTTCAAAGAGGACAGTTTTGTTGATTTTGAAAGAAAAACACCAGGGCAGGCAAGCTGTAAATCTCAACAATTTCTTAGAGGAAGGGAATGGGGAAGAGCAGGGATAGGCAGTGTTATCTATCGGTAAGCTAGCATGGAGGTCAGTCGTCTAATGGGCAAACCAGCTACACTGTAAGGATAGGAGCTTTAAAAAAGTAAGAGAGCTCCAAGTATCAGAATATGCAAACTTAGACTCTGGCCAGCATTGGAGAGGGGCAAAAAAGAAGTAAAAAGAAATGGTTTTGGCTTTTTGAGTCTGAATGGTGGACAGACCCAGCCCAACCTCACAGTGGCTGATAGGGAATGCTTCAAAATGTCTTTTAATTGAAATAGTGATAATGCCTATAAAGTAGTAGTGAATTATAATGGGTTTTCAGCTTTTTATATTTGTTCCTTTTTTCTCTTTAGATCCATTTGGTGGTGATCCTTTCAAAGGTTCAGATCCATTTGCATCTGACTGCTTTTTTAAACAATCTTCTACTGACCCTTTTACCACATCAAATGCTGACCCTTTCAGTGCATCCAGCAATAGCAGTAATACATCGGTAAGTGTCAGGTTTAAAAATTCAGACAGCTAAACAAATATCCTAAGGAAATTTCTTGAATATACAGTGATAGAACCTGCCTTTTGATTGTTCTTTAATTGGTCCATATGAAATTTGTCTGGCTTCCACCCATGCAAGTTTTTGTCTAATGTAATATTTCATACTTTGATCATTCACTGGAGACGACTAGGATGCTTTAGCGTGTCCAAAAATGGAATCCATCCTTATCTCATTGCTGATATTAAATAGAAGAGACTGGAAATCCAAAAGCCTGTCTTAAGTAAAACTTTGGGGTTGGGGGAACGAGACAGGGTTTCACCTGGAACTTTTAGTTCTTGTACACCAGCCTGGCCTCGAACTCACAGAGATCCAACTACCTGCCTCTGCCTCCTCAGTGCTAGGATTAAAGGTGTGCACCACTGCCGCCCGGCTTTAAGTAAAACTTTTTATAAATATCTGTTGTATTATTGAAGGAATACAAATTACTTAAAGAGCATTAATATTTTAGAAAAATAAAATAATTCATGTTGTTTTATAGTTATACCTGGAATGTTAATCTTGAAAAGTATAAGTTCCCGCTGACCATCAGGCTCTCTTGAGTACATGTCTACAACCTCTGTTTAGAGGCTGATCCAAAGCCTCTCTATGCTGCATGGTCATTGTCTCTAATCTTCAATTTCACTTTAAAAGGCAGATGTTGCCGGGCGGTGGTGGCGCACGCCTTTAATCCCAGCACTCGGGAGGCAGAGGCAGGCGGATCTCTGTGAGTTCGAGACCAGCCTGGTCTACAGAGCTAGTTCCAGGACAGGCTCCAAAACCACAGAGAAATCCTGTCTCGAAAAACCAAAAAAAAAAAAAAAAAAAAAGGCAGATGTTGATACTCCTGCTTTAAAAAATTTAGACATTTTTGGTTGTGAGCCTATCCTTTAGTGACTGAGCCATTTTTCCCGTTATTTATGCTGGGCAGTGGTGGCGGTGGCATATGCCTTTAGTCCTAACACTGGCGAAGTGGAGTCAGGTGAATATCTGAGTTTGAGGCCAGCCTGGTCTGCAAAGAGAAATTCAGAGCTACACAGAGAAACCCTGTCTCAAAAACAAAAGAACAAAAACAAAAACAAAAATTTTTTTTAAAAAATCATGTTACTTTAATTTGCTCAGGGTATTTTGTGTCTGAAGACTTTTTTTAAAAACACTTATATAGGACTGGAGAGATGGCTCAGTGTTTAAGAGCACTGGCTGCTTTTCCAGAGGACCCAGGTTCAATTCCCAGCACCCACATGGCAGCTCACAACTGTCTGTAACTCCAGTTTCCTGGGATCTGACACCTTTACACCAATGCACATAAAATAAAGTTAAAAACAAGTTTTAAAATAATTATATAGAGAGAGGCTGAAGAGATGGCTCAGCAGGTAACAGACTTGGGTTCAGTTCTCTATACCCACCAACAGCTCACAACTGTCTGTAACTCCAGTTTCAGGGGATCTGACACCCTCTTCTGGCCTCCACAGACTACAGGCTGGCATGCATACAAGCAGGAACACACACACACACAGAATAGATAGATAGATAGATAGATAGATAGATAGATAGATAGATAGATAGATAGATAGATAGATAGATAGATAGATATACAGATATAGATATATACAGCCTGAACACTCATATACATAAAATAAGAATAAATTTTAAAAACTTATATCCTGGATATTTAGAAATACTCAGAATAATACAATGAAATTGTGTTGTTTTTATTTTATTTTGTTTGTTCTTTATTTAGAGACTTTTTGAGGCAGCAATCTCATTTCTGTTAGTAAACTGGACCTAGAGGGGCACAATTAATTGATAGGCATTTTACATGACTGTTTTGTCATTTATTATTCTTAGGTGAAGATTACTTCCTTAAAAGAATAATGAGCCAGATGTGTCAGGCCTGTAATTCCAATGCTTAGGAGGTAGGGTCAAGAGAATTGGGAGTTCAAGGTCGTCCTCAGCTGTTAGTGAGTTTGAGGCCATCCTGGGCTATGTGAGATGAAATATGAACAGAAAAATAATGTTATATATGGGAGGTTAACAGGTTAGATTAATAGTACTCCCTGCCCCTCACCCCACCCCCCAAGATAGGGTTTCTCTGTCTGGCTGTCCTGTAACTTTCTCTGTAAACCAGACTGGCTTTGGACTTACTATGTAGTTGAAGCTGGCTTTAAACTCTAGATCTTCTGGCCTCTACCTCCCTGGTGCTAGGATTGCAAGGCATGTACCACCATGAAGTCAGGCATAGCTGACCATTATTCTGTTTTGTTTTGTTTGAGACTTGGTTTCTCTATGTAACAACTTCAGCTGGCCTGGAACTTACTCTGTATACCAGGCTAACCTTGAACTCGCAGAGATCTACCTGCCTCTGCCTACTGAGTGCTGGAATTAAAGGAGTAGGCTTCCATGTCCAGCATGACCATTGTTCTTTTCTGGGCAGTCCACTCTGTCTCATCCCTGTTAGAGTGGCTGCACTGTTTGATGAAGAAGTAGAATGAAACCTGACATCCATAAGTGCATTACTTCTTCCCCCTCCTTGGGTATTGTGTATGTGCCTTCCTCTTAAGAGCCGAATCCTAAATTTTTATTTTTGATGTTGTTTTGTTTTGTTTTATGATACAGTGTTTCTCTGTCCAATCCTGGTGGTCCTGTAGCTCACTAAGTAGACCAGACTGGCCTCAAATTGACCGTGATCCACTTGTCTCTGCCTCCTAAATTCTGGGATTAAAGGCCTGTGACATTATGCCCTGCTAGACTTGTTACAGTGTTAAAGAAAGTGGTAGTATTTGGAGTAAAAAGGGGATAGTAGTGAAAAACTGTTGAATTCTAAATAAAGCCTGTAACTGTAATTTAGGTTTTTCTTCTGGTGTTAAATCCTTAGTTTTAGGCCAGGCGGTAGTGTACACACCTTTAATCCCAGCACTTCGGGAGGCAGAGGCAGGTGGATCTCTTGAGTTCGAGGCTAACCTGGTCTACAAGAGCTAGTTTCAGAACAGACACCAAAGCAACACAGAGAAACTCTATCTTGATAAATAAATAAATATCCTTAGTTTTAGTAAATAGGCCGTGATTACATGAAATATTAATAGTAGAGGTAGCTAGAAGTGCATGTGGGAACTTTGTACTGTCTTTACACCTCTTCTGTAAGTCTAAATCATTTCACACTAAAAAGTTCACATAAGCACTTATAAAGCAAAAGAATTGAATACCATCAAAGCCAGGATACTGGTCACCTCTACAGGGCTGAGTAATACAACTCAGTGACAGGGCTTAGTTAGCATGTGTGAGCTCTGGGTTCAGTCCCAGTACTACCTGCAGAAGAGGGGTTGGGATTGTGGTTGGCAAGAGGCACATGAAGCAACTGACTGTTGGGACCTTCCTGAGAGATGACTGCATAAAACTTGTTAAATTATACATATGCCTCATACTTTTTAGAATAAATATTTTACAGCCAAAGAGAGTAATTATTTTCATTCATTGAGACTACATATAAGGAAAGGGAAAACTGTTCCAGATGTTTATATTTTCTAATAAAGAATTTTGTAAAGTATTTTTTAGGTTTGAGTAAAATTCCAGCTATGAAATGTTGCCTCTCAGTCATAGATTTGTACCATTCCTATAGGTAGAAACTTGGAAGCACAATGATCCATTTGCTCCTGGTGGAACAGTTGTTGCAGCTAGTGATTCAGGTAAAGACCTTTGTTTGTCAGTTCTATTAGTGCTCATCATTGCTTCTTCTTTAAGAGTTTCTTCTCTAAACATTTTTGCCCTATTCATTATGACTTTTAAATTGATGTGTAATTATTTCCATTTATAACATGCTGGTAATAGCAGCAACAAGTATTTATGTATCACTTTTTACTTTCCTTACTCATTATCTCGTTTATCATTCACCTTCAAGGTTTTTCTAGACTGCATACTGTGTTCAGTGTCAGTAAAACCAAGAAGCTTTTGCTTTATACAGTATAGTGTTGAGCTGAAAAGAAAATCGGTTGGTGGGTAAGAGCACCTGAGTCTGAATCCTAGCACTTGTATAAAAAGCTGACTGCCATGATCATCAGAGAGTCCGGTTTTATCCCATGCTTTTTCAGTCACAGTCCAGCTGGCCTTGGTGAGCTCCCAATAGATCAGCCCCACTGTCTCAGTGGGTGGGTGCACCCCTCATGGTCCTGACATCCTTGCTCGTGTTCTCCNCAGATGAAGGTTCTATGGTGATATGGAAGATATTCATCAGTATTGCTATAGGATAGGGTCATTTCAGGTTCCCTATCCTCAGCTTCCCAAGGGACTAACTGGGGACATCGCCTTGGGCTCCTGGGAGCCACTCTAGGTTCAAGTCTCTTGCCAACCCTAAGGTGGCTCCCTTGAGAAGCCAAGGACAATGGCACGGGGTTTTGATCCTACTTCATGTTCCGGCTTGGTGGGAGCCTAGCCAGTTTGGACGTTCACCTTCCTAGACATGGACCGAGGGGGGAGGACCTTGAACTTTCCACAGGGCAGGGAACCCTGACTGCTTTTTTTGACTGGAGAGGGAGGGGGAGAGGAGTGGGGGGAGGGGGAGAGGAGTGGGGGGGAGGGGGAGGGAAATGGGAGTCTGGGAGGAGGCGGAAACTTTTTTTCCTTTTCTCAATAAAAAAATAAAAATAAACACTCACCTCCAACAACAACAACAAAAAAAGCTGACTGCACTTGACTATAACCTCAGCATTGAGGAGCAGAGACAGGTGGATACTGACAGCACACTTGCCTACTGGCCAGCTAGTCTCTTCAAGATGATGAGCTTCTGGTTCAGTGAGAGACCTTGTCTTAAGGCAATAAGGTAGGGAACAGTAAAGGAAAACATCCAGTGTTCTACCCTGACCTTGCCATGAACATTCATGTACAAACCACACATATGCATATGTATAAACATGCACACAAATACATGAAAGGAAAAAATATTAAAAATTAGCAGGGTGTGATGATAACACTTTAAAATTCTAGTTCTCAGGATGAGGTAGGATTGCTATAAGTTCATGGTCAGCCTGAGCTACATATATGGACTACATAGTGAATTTCAGACTAGCCTGGACTATAAAATAAGAACTTCTTTTTTGGTTGTTTTTTGGTTTTGTTTTTGAAAAAAGGAGGTGACTGGAGAGATGGCTCAGCAGTTAAGAGCATTTGCTGCTCTTGCAGAAGACCCATGTTCAGGTCTAGAACCTACCTTTTGGCTCACAACAGTCTTAATTTCCAAGTTCAGGGGATCCAGTGCCATCTTCTGACCTCCATGGACAGCAGGTGCACATGTGCACATGCAGGCAAAACACTCTTCTACATGAAATAAATCTTAAAACGAGGCCCACATAAATATTCTCCAGTATATTTTACTTTCTTGTGAGCACCTCTTTCTCTTAACCCTGGTGTTCAACCCTATAAAGTGTTGTTTGGCATTTACTCCTAAAGATTTTCGCCTAAGTTTAAAAGTGAGTGGCTTCAAATGAGTAAAAAAAATTGTTTTTAATATAAAGAGGTTCTGTTAAAATACAGAGAAAAATCTAAGCACGAGGAAACTAAGTTCTAGAATATTAATAACTAACTTGATCAAGGTTACAGTTTATGAAAAGGTAAACCAGTTGACTAGATTCGATCCTAGGTCTGATGTAATCTTAAAACATTTTCAAAACGGGTTGTGGCGGCTCGTGCCTTTAGTCCCAGCACTCAGGAGAATCTCTGTGAGTTTGAAGCCAGCCTGGTCTCCAGAACAAGTTCCAGGACAGGCTGGAAGAGAAAACCAAAAATAAATAAATAAATAAATAAATAAATAAATAAATAAATAAATAAATAAATAAATAGATTCAACTAAGTAACTGCTTTGTTTCCACTCTTCATTAAGAATAAGGCTGCTGCTTGGGAGCATAGGAAATTAGAGGAAAGTAAATCCAGACATGAATGCTTTAACGTCATGTGGCTAGTAGGATGTGTTATTTTCTCAAGTTGTTGATGTGACCAAGTAGTTTATGATATAGAGGGATTAGTACAAATGCCTCAACAAATTGGATCTCTTCTGTTGAACAAATTGTCATAAGATTCAGCATGACTGAATTTCAGGGAATTGGGTTTTAAACCCCAGCATGAGTAGCAAGAATGAGAAATAAAAAGCAGATGTGGAACAGACGAGTTACTCTAATGCTGGGTACTAATCACATTTAGAATTGTGAGCTTTCAAAATCAGTTTTTAAAATGAGTAAATTTCTGTTTATTTCATATATATGTTTAATATATATTAGTTAAAAATCATTGTCTTCTGTTACTGCTAAAATATGGTTGTTATGAAAGTACATTAAGTGCTTGAGTTCTTTTCAGCACTTGCTTGCTCCTGGTGGATAGACACTGCACACTGTGGAAGAAAAGTAGTAAGGAAAAGCCAGTCCAGAACCTGTTTCTATATACTCTGTTCTCACTTGTAAGCGTGATTTTTCTACTTTAGATGAGATTAGTTTTGGGGGGGGGGGTGTCTGTCTGTCTGTCTGTCTGACTGTGTATAATATCTTACTAGCCCCAGATTGAGGAAATACAGTGTCTTTCCAGGTGCTGATTAAAGCTGTGCCCAATAAGATACAAGTGTTTCTTTGCAGGTACATTTTACTCAGGGTATCTCTTGAACACTGTGAGGTTGACCTTGATAATCTTACATTTAAAGGGTATAGAGGTGAGGGGGAGGTCTTCATCTTAGGATTCTTTGGTAAGCAGCTACTCTTTGGGGGAACTTTTTCTTTAGGATTTTTTGTATGTTTGGTTGGTTGGGTTTTTGCTAGTTTGTTTGATTTCGGTTTTTCAATGAAACAATCCTGACTGTCCTCAAATTTACTCTGTAAGCCAGGCTGGCCTTGAACTCACCTGCCTCTACCTCCCTAGTGCTAGAATTAAAGGTATGTGTCACCACGACTGGCCATCTCTTTTTATTTTTAACCACAGGTTCTTAGTGCAAATCTATCCTGGAAACTTGAACAGGTGTGCCTTACCTCCTCCAGCATACACACTCAGATCTGTGCCTGTGACCGCTGGCTAGGATGGGGGAAATATCTGACAAATTCAAACTACTTATCAATTATAGATAACTGTGGAACAAAGTAGAGGACAGTCATTGTGGTAGTGAATGAAGAACTCACTTGTTGCCGTGGAAAACCCCCTGGGTTTGTGGAAGAGGTAGCATTTGAAATGAGACTTGAGTGATGTGAAATGTGTGGCTAATGACCCTTTAAAGTGTTTGATACCATTATGAGAGATGATTTGGCCAAGCACAGTGTCACATGACTGTGATCTTGGCACTTGAGAGACTGACAGACAGAAAAAAAGTCATATGCCATCCTGGGCTGTACTTTCCTCAGAACAAACAGCAATTAAATGAAGTCCATAGGAGTTGTTTGACGTGTGTTCCAGAGCTTAAACACCCCACCTTCAACTACACCTGCTTTGCTCCTGGGTCATTTACAGCTGGTTTATACAAAGGCATACACCATACGGGATTTTCAGTATATACCTTGTCTGTATAGACATCAGTCATAAATTTAGGAATATTTATTCTGAATGTTACCGAACAAAACATGGACATGAGATACGGTGTCTTACACTGATTTTTCTTTGCTCCTTCTAGCTGCAGACCCTTTCGCTTCTGTTTTTGGAAATGAATCATTTGGAGATGGGTTTGCTGACTTCAGCACATTGTCAAAGGTAATCTGCAGTGATTAATAGGAAGAAACAATACATCATGTTCCATTAAATGAGCGGCCTTCTTATAGTTAGAGCCTTCTCACAAATGTGGATAGAACTGTGTCAGTCTGTAGCAGGGCTGATTTCAGATGGATGTTACAGATCAGCTGTAAGGTAATCGGATTTCTATACGTAGGAGGCAGTGGTACAGGTGGTTACATTTTCTTCTGAAAGGTCTACTCAGTGTCAGCGTTAGAGTTGTCGCTCTGTTTAAATGTTTTTTCCATCTGAATTACATTTTTTCCTTGTGTCCTTTCTGGATCATTAGCCACAACATTCATTCCATCTCCTGTATACCTATTTGATTTTATCCTTTGAAGTTATTAGCGTCTGCACCAAGACAAAATCCAGTGCTGGGTGTCTGCCACCTTTTGTCCAGCATAGCTGTAGTATTGATTCAGGCTAAGAGAAAAATATTTGAAGATATGCAAAATTGTCTGTCCCTATGGAACATTTGACAGTGTCCAGAGACATTTGTGGTTCTCAGAACTAGGTAGAAGATACTGCTCATATCCAGTGCGTTCATCCTCCAGTTCACTGCAGAGCCACCATTCCCACTCCCTGGATGTAGTTATTCCATCCCAAAAAGTTAGCTGTGCAACTGTTGAAAAACACTGGCCTAGCCCAGTGGTGGTGGCCCACACCTTTAATCCCAGCACTCAGGAGGCAGAGCTGGCAGATCTACAGAACAGGACAGCCAGGCCTACATGGAAAAACCCTGTCTCAAAAAAACAAAAAAGAAAAAAAGTTTATCATTGGCCTAAATAAATCATAATCTGATTTGTTACAGGAAAGCCAATAATCCTCATATGTTTAAAAGTCAGGGTTTTCAAACCAACATTAAGACTTAATATTTGGAGCTGGAGAGACGGCTTAGTGATTAAGAGCATTGACTACTCTTTCAGAGGACCTTGATTCAATTCCCAGCACCCAAATGGCAGGCAGCTCACAACTGTCTGTAATTCCAGTTCCAGGGGATCTGACACCCATGGCAAAACATCAATGCACATATAAAGTAAAAATAAATAAATTTTTAAAAAGACAACATTCCACAGGATCAGTTTACTTTTGAAAAGTTGACTCTCAGATTATCTTCATAGTTTTTCTAGAAGCCATTTTCTCTAATTTTTATTGTCTTGCCTATATGTAAGTGCACTGAGAAGCATAGAATCAGCCATTCTTTTTGTTTCATTTTCATTCAACTCAGACGATCTTTTTGTACCTCAAGAAGTTTTGTGTTGCTTAATGCTTACTTAATAAGTCTTTAATCTTTTTGTTTTGATGTCTGTTGGCTCTTGATAAGTAAAGCTATGAGAATACCTGCTCATACAGATGAATTGTAATCCTGTTTGTTCTTGAATGTAAAGGGTAAAATGTCACTTTGGGGAATTCAAATAAAACTGCTGATACATAAATCATTCATCTGAATACTATATGACCATGTGTATATCAAACTGTTTAAACATTTCTTTTTAAACAAAGGTCAACAGTGAAGATCCTTTTAACCCTTCCACATCAAGTTCTGCCAGTAATGTGGTCCTTCCAAACACTGTGTTAGAGGAGACATCCACCAAGAGTGAGGATGTACCTCCAGCACTGCCGCCCAAGACTGGAACTCCAACAAGACCCTGCCCGCCACCCCCTGGTATGAGAGTTGGGGCCTTTCCTGGACAGATGTATGCCTTTTCCCTCTAGAAAGTGTTGTGTGGGCCTTTCTTACATTAGTATTACATAAAGGCTGTGAACAAGAACCAAGCACTTAGCATAAGCTTGCTGCTGATCTCCCTTCCCCTCCCCATTTAGATAAAATTTGGGTGACATCTCTTTGTTTTTGTTTTGTTTTTTGGAAACCTATTGATTATTATTTGGATAGCAGTTTCCTGTACTCTTGTTTTGAAGAAACAAATACAAGGTCTCTGTAAATCTTTTATTTTTTATTTATTTTTGTTTAGAAAAAAGCAAGGAAGTGGCAGGCAAGAGTGACAAAAAGAACTGCTTGCCCTTTAAAACTCATTTAGTTTACAATAGACATTTGTTTTGTTTTGTTTAGCTGGCCTGGAACTTGGTTTGTAGACAAAACTAGCCTTGAACTCAAAACTCTTGAATAAACCACCTGCCTCTGCCTCCTGAATGCGAGGTTTAAAGATGTGTACCTTTACACCTGGCTCCAGACGTCTGACTTTAAAATTTTCTTTGTCTAGTCTAGGAACAAATTGTAGGTTTTTTGTTTTGTTTTGCTTGGTGTTGTGTTTAGCACTACACCAAGAAAAGGTTTGTTTCTATGCAGCATAAAGTATCTATGAAGACAATTCCCCAGAGTGTGGGTAGTGCTGCCAGCTCACTGCGGGGTAACAGTTCAGCCCCAAAGTTAGATGATCACTTTTTTAAGTTTTGTTGAATAATCATTTTGCCTTTTCATAATAACTTTCCCATGGTATTTGGTTGAATATCTGTTCAGAACTTATGTAAATGAGTTAAGTGCTTCTCATCTTTTAAAGAGTCACCTATATTATACATTGTTAAAAGTAAATGGATCAGTCTTCATATTTGAAAGTAATATTTTGTTCAAATGCTTTTACACCTGTGTGAGTATACTTTTAAAACCCAAATGCCTTAATTTGGTGTCTTAATTAAAGCTGAGAACAAGGCTAATGTGATAACTTAATAGGGCACAGGTACTTACTTGCTGCATGAGCCTGGTAACCTGTATTCAGTTCCCAGAATCTATGTGAAGGTTCAGAGACAGAACCGCGTAGTGCAAGGTTTTACTCTTTATACTCTTTTGGGGGTGCCCACCACCCAGCTCTCAAGTAAATACACACACACACACACATACACACATACACACACACACATACACACACACACACACACACACACACACACACACGGAGGCTTATTTTTACTTATAAACACCCTGCTTTAGCTTGGCTTGTTTCTTGCTGCTTTTCTTAAGTTATCACGACTACCTTTTGCCCCTGGGCACTTATCTTTCTCTATTTCTGTTTGTTTGTTTGTTTTTGAGACAAGGTTTCTCTGTAGCTTTGGAGCCTGTCCTGGAACTACCACTGTAGACACTGCGAGTTCGGGCTGGCCTCGAACTCGCAGAGATCCGCCTGCCTGTGCCTCCCGAGTGCACTACCACCTCCCAGCTCTTTGTCTATTTCTGTATACCTTTCTTTACTTCTTTCTCCATACTTGCTGTGTAGCTGGGTGACTGGCCCCTGATGTCCTCCTCCCCTTGTTCTCTTGCTCCTCCTCTTCCTCATTTCTCCTTCTATTTATCCTGTGCCTGCCAGCCTCATCTAGCCTTGCTCTTGGCCTTGCTATTGGTCATTCAGCTCTTTATTAGACCATCAGGCAAAGAATCACAGCTTCACAGTTAAACATATTCTGCAGAAGCAATATGCTTTAAAATAATATTCCCCAACAGAACTAACTTCATGAAGTTGCTCTGGTAACACATGCCATACACACATGTACTGTGGCACTCATGTTCACACACACACACCCCATCTATAGCATTCACAATAATAATAAGGCTGAGAACATTCAGACATCCATTACTGTAGAAAGAGCCAAGGGAAAGAATGGTTTGTTGAAGAGGTCACTGTCCAGGTGGTCCTAGCCTGGGTTTGTGAACCCCACCACACCCCCAGTTTTAGTAATTAAATCTGAGACCTCATGAATGCTAGATAAGCACTCTGTCACTGAATTACATTCCCAGCGCTTTAGTATTTTGTTTTTTAGACTGTGCCTCATGTAGTCCAACCTGGTCTCAAACTGAATTCCTCCTCCTCTCTCCTGCCACATTCCAAGTGCTAGTATTAACCCCAGGCTTGGTTTTGATTTTTATTGGTTTTGGCTGCTGTTGTTGGTTGGTTGGTTTTTCAAAGCAGGGTTTCTCAGTATAATAGTGCTACCTGTCCTGGAACTCACTTTGTAGACCAGGCTGGCTTCAAACTCACAGAGATCCGCCTGCCTCTGCTTCCCAAGTGCTGGTATTAAAGGCGTGCGCCACCACTGCCTGGCTTTGGTTTTGATTTCCTTTGGGATTTTCATTGGTTTGTTTGGATTTTTCCAGCGGTACTACAGAGCAAACTTAAGGATTCATAAGCTGTACCTGGAGTCATTATTTTGTGATCTTAAGCCTGTTATTTCCTATATCTAAGCCTCAGTGCTTTCGTTGTTATATGGTAGTTGTGACACAGATCCTGCCTGCCTTCACAGCACTTTCCGACGGCAAGTGTAGTGGTATGAGATACAAGCCTCTTTTGTAAACTATGTTTATGAAAAAATCAATTATGACTATGAGCATACTGCTATAGGAAGAACACATTTGAAGAAACTTAATGTGTTTCTCTTTTTTTTTTTTTTTTTTTCAAAAAATGTTACACACTTTAAGTAAAACTTTAAAATTGGAGAAAGCTGGGCATAATGGCACACCCCTTTAATCCCAGCACTAGAGAGGTAGAGGCAGGCAGAGCTCTGAGTTTGAGGCCAGCCTGGTCTACAGAGCAAGTTCCAAGGCAGACAGGGCTACACAGAGGAACCCTATCTCCAGAAAACCAATCAATCAGTCAATCAATCAATAAACAGTAAATAAATATATATATATATAAATAAATGGTATTGAAACAGTAGGTTATGAATTAGCAGAGCAATGTGCTGTTATTTGGTCAAAGATTAGTCAGCAGTACATGTGAACTTCTAAATGTCTCAGCTTGAAGTTTTACAGAAGTGAGGTTTTTGTCAAGTTAATCTTATATTTTATGCTACTAGGCGTTATATATGTGTAATTATACCAGAGAAAAGACGGAAGAAATTTGCCACATTTCAGAATCGCTCATCTTTGCTGCTGCTAGTGTGAGGCTGCGGCTCCAGCAGCAGATGCCAGGCTGTTTGTCCTTTACCCATTTTCCTTGTGTCTCACTACCTTCCTTAGGACTGTGCTTCTTTAAATGGAGGAGGACTTAATCTTTGGACAAAATCATAATTCTTGGCCCATTTCCTCGTTTTTGTTTTTGGACTTATCCATTGAGCTGCCCCTGGTTTTTGAGAGAGGTGTGAAGACTTTGAGCACAGTTGGTGTGGCCATTTAAGGCAGTATTGAGAATATGCTGTGGACTCTTGCTCTGCGCACTGCCTGCAGCTCTTTAATGTTCCTGTGAACATGTTCTGTGTGCTTGTGTTTGCTGTGTCTGCTGGTTAATTGTAATGATTTTGATCCAGGGAAAAGACCCATCAACAAATTGGATTCTTCTGATCCCTTTAAACTGAATGATCCATTTCAGCCTTTCCCAGGCAATGATAGTCCCAAAGAAAAGGATCCTGATATGTTTTGTGATCCATTCACTTCTACTACCACTACCAATAAAGAGGCTGACCCAAGCAATTTTGCTAACTTCAGTGCTGTAAGTACTGTGAATGGGCTGTTTGGGGAAAAATCTTTGCATTTATAGTTGAAGAGTTGACAAAGATTTCTTGGTAGCCTTCCAAACTTGCATCATTTAACAAACACACTAAAAAAGTATCTTTTATTCTTCCCCCAAGCAAATTCGATTTGGTTTGGTTTTGCTGGTTCTTAGATGATTGCATTGCTCAGCTGATTTTAGTTGTCTTGTTTCTTCTAAATAAGTTATTTTATAACCCATCTTTCAGTCTTGGTAACATAAATATAAGTAAAATCTCAACAGTTATTATTTGGCAGATGGTTGCGCATGATGGTGATTTTAAAGTTTGCTGTCTGCCTACTGTTTATAATGCCAGTAACAAGCTTGTCTATTTGTATGAGTGTTTGTGTACAAAGCTTTAGCAGTTTCTGTAAGAGGACAGTGCAGGGGTTCTTTGTACAGAGTCAACTCCTTATTTACTATATTCACAGTCGTTGTCATGGTCTGTTGTGGTCCTTTTGATCCGTCTGTGAACCCAGTTATCATTCATACTGAACTCGTGCTCTACTGTAATAAACTGTCATTAAGATCGAAGAATTCTTTAAAAAGGTTGGAGAAGTGCTATGAGAATAGCTTAAGCAAGACCTTTATGATCATAGAAATGGAGCAACCAATCCTGGAGAAATCATATATTTCATCATTGCTCAGATTAAACAGAATTTTTAAATGAAATTCTTAGAATAGCTAACAAAGTTTAATTTTTCCAGATTTTTCCTTCACACAAAGTAACATTCATTACCGCTGCCTATTCTATAAGAAGAATTTCTCTGCTTATTACCTTTTTTTAAAGATTTATTTATTATGTATACAACATGTGTGCCTGCAGGCCAGAAGAGGGCACCAGATCTCATTACAGATGGTTGTGAGCCACCATGTGGATGCTGGGAATTGAACTCAGGACCTCTGGAAGAACAATCAGTGCTCTTAACCTCTGAGCCATCTCTCCAGTCCCTGCTTATTACCTTTTATCCTTGACTTTGGAGATTGGAGATTGAGTGGCCGAGTGCTCCTGGTCACAGCTTGCCTGTTGTTTTCTTCCTCTGAGTATTATTTGGGAACCTTCACTAGTTATTTTGTCCCTGTGGCTACTCTGCTTACCTAGAGAAGAGATGTGCAGAGATCTTTGTGCACCTAAGGCAGCTGCAGTACCTACCTTTGGTCTGTACTCTCAGGTTCCAGGGGCATCACTGAGTGTGAAGGAACATGATAGAAATCCCTATTTTTAATATTGAAAAGAAGTGGCAAGGCAGAATTATCTTCTATGTCAGGTGGAGGTTGAGTTGTTTGAAGCAGAGAAGAACTAAGAATTGACTTTCTTAGGAGATTGTGATCCTTGTTGTAAAATAACATTCTGGAAATTTGTGATGTTCAGTTCATTATGTTAAATATGGTTCTGCGAGTCAAAACCTGGTTGGAATGAGTCTTAAACAATATCAGAGGCATTTTACTTATTTCCTGCTCAGAGACTCAGTACAGTACAGCATAAAGTAGCTAACAATAAAGTCCTCTGTTTTCATTGTGAGGGATTTGGGAAGTATACCAAGAGTCTCATGCACACTGCCAAAGCCTTCCAGTTAATTTCACTTCTTTTGATGGCCTCCTTGTGTGTCAAGACTGAAACCAGGTAGAACTTTGTATCTAGTTTCTACTGAAGTTGAAATTTAATTGTAATTACAAATATTTTTTCCAATCTAATCACCATCAGTATTAAGGTTTTGCTTAAACTGGGTCATTTTAGTTATATAAAACTGGGTTAAAAGTTTTAAAATATTATCAGAATCTTCAAAATATTTAAAAAATAATTTGGTTCATGTACTGCTTAATCTAGCTAATATTCTTATATATAGCAGAATTTACCTGTTTTTGCTTTATAGTTTTGGGGTATCCTTGAAAGGCCAGGTAAGGCAGCTTTTCGTATCACCAGTGGCTTTAATCTTAATGATACATCATAATGATACATATGGCATGTAATCCGACCACTCAGGACACAGGCAGGAGGGTCATGAGTTTGAAGTCAGCTTGAGCCCATGTAGTGAGATCCTAACTTTCAAAAAAGAAAAGAAGAAAAAAATTGCTATGTCATAAGTGATCACTAAAGTTTAAATAACAAGCATTTTACATTGAATTGAAAGACTACACCACTCCTATTTTTAAATCTCCTAGCCTACACTAAATATTTCTCCTCTTTTGAGACAGAATATCACTGTATGTCCCAGATTGACTTCTGATTTGCAGTCCTCCTGCCTCCATCTCCCAGATGCTAGGACTGAGGCATGTGCCACCATGCCTGTAATTTCTATGTTTTAAAGTCATGCTTTTAACGTTTATTGTATTTTTATAAAGTTTTCTTCCCATAGATTGCATTAAAATTTTAAACTCAACCAGAGCTCACTAGGTAAAACCTATTTTTAGAAAAACGAGGAAGTAACATTATTCCCAGAGTTCTCTAGGTAAAACAAATAGTGAATGCTCTTTTATAAAAAGTCTTCATTATTTTTCTTATTCATTCATCTTTTGGTCTTTTAAATGGCAGTATCCCTCTGAAGAAGACATGATTGAATGGGCAAAGAGAGAAAGTGAGAGAGAAGAAGAGCAAAGACTTGCCAGACTCAATCAGCAGGAACAAGAAGACTTGGAACTGGCCATTGCACTTAGCAAGTCGGAGATCTCTGAAGCATGAAGTCAGCAGTGCTGTTCTTGAATACTGAAGCTATTTACCATGTGCATTAAACTACCTATGAGCATGGGATACAAAAAGTTTGAGAGTCCTATAAATGTGACAAAAGTGTAACTTGTTTTTTGTTTTTGTTTTTTTTTGGGGGGGGGTTCTATTTCAACTGTGTCCTTTATTTTCTTCTTCCAAAAGCAGTACCCTAACTAGACAGCTTACTCTAGACCCCTGTTCTGGTGTACATTTACAGTGAGCTCTTGCCTGCTTATACTATTTCCTGTAAAGCTAGAGCTAAGCCTCTGCGCTCTAGAACCTAGCAGATATAGTTTCACGCTGTGCTGCCCCTGTTCTGTAGTTCCTATGACAGCAACTAGAGTTCTGAAAGTGTGCAAGTATTCTCCCTGAGCTGAGTGGTTGAAGGAGGGAAGGAAAGAGCACCCTGTTTCTTTTGATCGGTACCAAACATTAAAAAAGCAAAGTGCATTGTAAGTACTTGTGGAGAAAATACGTTTTGTCATCTAGAGACGGGACACACCCACTACTGAGAACTAGATGAATTAAGTTAAACCATTATTGTTCCAGGCTCAAGTAATTCCTAAATAAAGCATTAAAGCCTTGTGTGTGAAACACATTTTTAAAACAATTTTCTCTGGACCTAAAGAATTTTAAGATTAATTGCTGTGTATTTCCTAGTTTAAAAAAAGTGCTTACAAATAAAATTTGTAAGGAAATGTTTGTTTTAAGTGCTAACGAGGAAAACTTGTGACTTAAAATGCAACCTGTTAGTTTAAGCAAACACTTAGCCCGAACCCATCTGCCTTGGCAGCTACGCTGACCTTAGTTCAGAAGTGTCCTGAACTAGAATTGGAAAGTACTTTGGTTTTCATTATGTTTTGTTTCTTTAGTGGGGCCCAGCTATTTGCAGTGATTTAATGGAAGAAGTAACACATATCCTCTTGCTTTTTGTCCATCTTAGTAGTTTCAATTACTTCACTTGCTTGCTTTTTTTTTTTACTTATAAAATTAAAAAACTGCCTCCCACCCAAAATCCTGGTTTTTAAATTGAGAAAAAAATTAAACAGACTTGCCAAATTATCAGAACCTTGCCTTTGTTAAAAGCCCATCTTCTGCTCGACTGGCCGACAGCTGGCTTTGAAATGGACTGTGAAGTGGACTATAAATTGTATTTTTTTTAACACGAGTTACTAATTTAGTGTTTTCAACACCAAGATAAAAATGAACCTACAAAATAATTCAAAATTTTAATTTTTAAAATTAAAAGTCACAAGTTAAGGTGGTATTGAACTGTGTTGACCAGTAACTTACTGCCTGTCCTGTAAATAAATTTACAGCGGCTAATCAGTCCATCTTGAAATGGTGCTTTTTCTTTCTTTACACACTCTATTGGATGGCTGGAATTTAAAACAAACTTAAACCACTTTCTTGCACTGCTAACTTTTTTCTATTTTTGTAAATAAATATTTCAGCATAAAGTCATACATGTGAAGTAAGGGCTGAATCATAATCCCAAGGCTTTAGCGGTGATAGCTAATCCAGTGGCCTAAGTATTTGCTACAGACGGTGCTGGCGAAGGTCAGGCTAGGAGTTGTGGTAGGCAGTGTTCTCTGCTCTCCTTTCCTCTCACGCTTCAGGAGAAAGGTAAGTTGACTTGAATAATCTTCTTTTGCACTGAGAAAAGTGAAAAATGTTTGAAATGCTTTAAAAAATTTTAATTAAAGAAAACTCTGGACATATTAAATATCTGTAACTTATAAATAGCAACTTTTGATGTGCAGTAAAGTTTGCCCTAATCTCCATGCTCTTAGCTGAGTCCTAGAGACTCATCCTTGGTTAAGATGTGTATACTCCGTGGGCCAATATCATACTAAAATGTGTATATATTATATAAACATATCTATATCTTCATGCTTGATTGTATAGGACGAATGTTTTAAGAGTCATTTGTGATGTTTTATGGTATTGACCCTGGCTCCAAAGCCTGCGCTTGAAATAAAGATGAAGTTTTAACCATCTTTTACCTATTTGTTCAGCTTTATTTGAGCTTTCTTCATAGAATTTTTCTCATGTTTCAAACTTATAAATTACAGTTGTAATTATAAGAATAATAAACATTAAGAAATAAAAAATGTACTATCTATCATTTTGCATTGAAGTTTTGCACTGTTCTCTGAGGAGGGACAGGTGTGCCATCAGTATACATTGCCCTGCATGAAGTGTCTTAGACAGTATTATCTAGAACAAATAAACGTTGACTATCCCATTTTGTTACTTTGTCCTGTTTTGTGAAAGGAAGCTAGGAAATGTGTCTACATAGAGATAGAGCCTGAGATCCGTGGTTGTAGCTCTGTTGAGAAGAACCTGTGCCTGTGTTCTTAGGAAGCTCCTGGTCTCGAATCCTGTTCTACCATTTTTGAGAAAGTAACTTTCAGAAAATTCCTTAAGCCAGAAGAGGTGGTGCATACCTTTAAATCCAGGAGGCAGGAGCAAAGAGACCTCGGAGTTCTGACCAGGCTAGACATATGGCTAGTTCCAAGTCAGCCTGAGCTGCATAGTGAGACCTCTTTAAAATTATTTATTATTATTATTAAATTAATTTTTTTTTTTTTTTGTTTTCTTTTTTTTTTTTTTTTTTTTTATTTTTTTTTTTTTTTTATTTTTTTTTGTTTTCTTTTTTTTTCTTTTTTTTTTTTTTTTTTTTTTTTTTTTTTTTTTTTTTTTTTTTTTTTTTTTTTTTTTTTTTTGTTGATGATGGAGGCCTTGCTGTGTCAGGCTAAGCTCCAACTCAGTTCTGCCTTGTTTTCATGAGTGGTTGGGACTATAAGCATGCAGTACCCCACTCAGCTTGATACCTATTTAATATTAGCTCTTTTTAAGGAAATCATCGCCACCACCCTGGGTCCTTGTGCATGCCAGACCAGCACTTCCCCCTGAGCTCTTGTCCCAGCCTCACATAGTAGACGTGGTGGATGGGAACCCCTATGCCGAGCATTTTGTGTGTGTGCTTGTGTTTCTTGTCTAGTTTTCATGGTAGGACTAAGGAGGGAAAGTTTTTAATCATATTTTGGAAATGGGGGAACCTAGTGCTCAGAAGGTTAAAGCAATATATGTTCACATAGCTAACAGGTAGGTGAATTGAGTCCTGATCCTTTGATTCCAATGTTGTATTTTGCATACCTTCCCTCATTTTGTGTTAAAAAAAATGCTTATAGAAAATGATAGGAACTGGACATAGTGGTCACATTTTTAAAGCCATCATGATCCTCCATGTTTAACAGATATCTGTCTACTTGGTCGAGACTATCAAGAAAGAAGGGAAGGAAGCAAGCAAGCACTGATTCTCCAAGGGCCTAGAAAGATGGCTCCGGTGGTCATGAGCATTTGCTGCTTTTGCTAAGACTAGAGTTCAGTTCACCCACACTGATTGCTCACGACTGCCTGTGACTCTAGCCCCAGGTATTGAATGCTCTTTTCTGGCCTCATAGGCACAGATATGAGCATACACATAATTAAAAATAAATTTTGGATAAAAGTATTATCCAATTAATAATATGAGAATTCAATTGTTAATTTTTAACATTACCCCATAATTATATGGCAGAAAGGCAAGTCTTGCTTTTTATTAAAGGAGTATAAGTTTAAACCAGGTGGTAGTTTATTCCTAATAAGACTAGCATTCTGGATGCTGACAGGAAAATTCTGGGAATTAAAGGTCAGCCTGGGTTACAAATTTGAAGCAAGCTAAGTCTACATAGTGAGACTTTGTCTCAAAAACAGTGGAGAGCTGGGGAGGGAGGGACCTAAAACTATAAGGCCAAAGAAAACACCAAGCAAAAATGTAGAATAACCAGTGATGATGGCTCCGGAGGAAGACCTGACTAGGGATAGACCGTGCGGCTCAGTGGGCAGAGTGCTTGCCTGGAATGCATGAGGCCTCTGCTCAATCCATAGTGTAAACTGGGTAGGATGGTGCATGCCTGTAATTCCAAAACTAGGGAGGTAGAGGCAGGAGAATCAGAAGTTGAAGGTCATGTTTGCCTATATAAGGAATTCAAGTTCAGCCTAGATTCCATGAGTCTCCCATCCCAAATGAGATGGCTCAGTGGTTAAGAGCGCTGACTACTCTTCCAGAGGTCCTGAGTTCAATTCCCAGAAATCACTTGGTGGCTCACAACCATCTGTAATGAGATCTGTTGCCCTCTTCTGATATGCAGGCATACATACAAATAGACTTTTGAATACATAATAAATAAGTAAATCTTTAGGGGGAAAAAAGGGCGGTAGATAGTTTTAAAAAGTTTCAAGTAGTCCTGTACAACTATACATTGCATTTGTGGGTAAGGAACAAGATGTGTCAGATCTCCTTGGTAACAGGAAATTGCTTTAGGGGAAAAAAGTCATTCAGTTGAGAAGTTTACCCTAAGTGCTATGCCTGAATCCTAAAAAATTAACAAATTATAGGATCGCCAGGCCATGGTAGTACTCGCTTTAATCCCAGCACTAGGGAGGCAGAAGCAGGTGGATCTCTGTGAGTTTGATACCAGCCTGGTCTTCAGAGTGAGTTCCAGAACAGCCAGGGCTACAGAGAGAAAGCCTGTATCGGGAAATAAATAAACAAAACTCATAGGCTCTGAGTAGATGTTAGTGAGAGGAAAGGGCTAGCGCTAGATTTAGCAGCTAAGGATGGCTTGGAAGGCATATCAAATGGAGGGTTGAACCCCACCCTCAGTTTATGATCTAGTAGGTCAAGTGTAGGATCCAAGGCCACACATCGTCTGATGTGAATTTGGAAAGGATGAGTCTCCAAGACGCTTCACATCGGTGGCATTTTTTTTTTTTACTTTAGTAAATTCAGTCTGCTCTAAGGTCGGACCTTTCTTCAGAAGCTTGATTTCATCAGTAACCAAGGCAGTATCTATTAATCGAGTTGGCAAGAACAGATGGAAGGACCGGAATGCCACTTTCCCCTTAGCATTGTCACTGGACTTTGCCCACAGTAGATTGAATGAGTTCTTCCTTCCTGGTGTGCAGGCCCGTCTTGATCTCAGCTACCTGGGTCACGGGCATGGTTTTCTAGATGAATGTGTTGATCAAGCTGACGCCTGGCTTGGCTGGTTGGTTGGCTGTCTATCTCTTTGGAGTAACTCTGCATACCTTTGCTTTTGAGTCATTGTGTGTATCTTTCAGTGTGTTAAAGGGCATAATTTTAGATCTCAGGAGATAGAGTTTGTCATCGAATATGTGCTTGGTCACAAGACAAAAATGAAAGCTGATTTAAAAAAAAATCATATCAAGTTCAGGTCCTAACGTTGTATATGTTTTACATGAATGAATGATACAAAAATCATCTTGAGCCAGGGATGGTAGTATAATGCCTTTAGTCTGAACTGTAGAGGCTGAGCCAGAGGATTGTCTGTATTCATTACCCAGGATGCACTTTGTGAAGAAAATTGACTATCACAAGTTGCCTTACTCACACACTCAAAAATGAGAAAGATGAAAAGAAGATAGAGAACGTAATGATCCACTTTAAGAACATGTTGATCTCTGAATAAAGGGGATAAAGCAGATTTCCCTTAAAGTCATTTAGATAGAATACTTTCTTTTCTTATCCTGGATGAAGTTATCACTGAAGGAGGTGCACAGAACACTGCTATCAGAACTGCTCTGGAGGTGGGTGCTCACCTGCATAATGACACTTGTAGTCTGTGTTGTTACTGTCCTAAGTTCAATGGTGAGAAAGCAGGACGGGGAGGTTAAGTAACTGGCCTGAAGCCAAGGTTTCAGCCTAGGCATTGGCTCTAGAGCAATGGGAAGAATATTCTGCCTCAGGACTATTACAAGATGCAGACTAATATGAGCTTGGCAGAGTGGCTCCTAAGTGCCTACATCCTCAGAACTTGCATGGCAGGCAGGCAGGTGCGTTGTTGGACGAACTATTCTCTGCCCACCTGTCTCCGTTACTAAAGCTGAGCTGTGGAGACTGGACAAATGAACAGTTTGGGGGCTAAAAGCGGTTGCTACTCTTGCAGAGGACTCGGGTTTAGTTCCCAGTACCCTCGTAGCAGTCCACAGCAGCCTGTAGTTCCAGTTCTGGGGATTGGACATGCTCTTCTGGCCTCTCTGGATAGTGTGCACATGTGGTACACTTAGTACATGCAGCAGAACACCCAGACACATAAGAAGAAACCTTGAGGAAAAACCCGAGATGTAAAAGGACACATTTGACAGGGCTGCTCTGAAGAGCGAGTTGAGTTTAAAATAATGCCGAATACCGTTCTAAGTCGACACTGAGAAGTAGGAAACGCCCAGAAGGTAAGAACGTTGGGTTGAAACCAAGATTCTGACTCAGTCTGAGTAGCATTTCTAAACTCCTGAGCTGAAGGAGGGGGGTACTGACTACTGCCCAGGTTAAGTCTTGTTTTCCACACAGGAGCTGGTGTGTAAACCTTCCCTGTAATGCCTGCTACTGATAACAACTAACTGTGTACCCGTTCCCTCATTCGCCCAACTGTGTAACTAGGTTCCAGGAAAGACAGATAGGGGTGCCTCCTCTGTGCCTGCAGATAAAAACCCAAAGGATGGAGCTTGGCATGGTGGCTTTTGCATGGAATCCCCGCACTTGGGAGGCTGGGGCAGGGAGATTGTACAAGGGCAGCCTAGGTTACAGAGTGAGACCCCGTCTCAACAAAACAAAAATCAAGAGGAGGGGAGAGAGGAAGGGAGAAAGAGGGGATATGAAGAATGAGACCGACTTTGTGGATTACTATTAAAAGCATGAAGTGTTGGGCTGGTGACATGGTTCAGCGGGTAAAAAGCACTTGCCACCAAGACTGACTGGAACCCAGTCCCCAGAACACACGTGGGGGAAGAGCTAGTTGGAAAGTTGCCTCTGCACTCCAAATGCATGCACAACAGTAAAATGTTAAATTATAATAATTAAAAAGTAGTTTTAAAAAAAAGTAGTTCTAAATACTTGAGAAAAGTAGACAAAACTGTAGCCTCTGTACAGGGAGACACTTCTAGGAGAGCCTAGAAACCCACTGTCAATAGACTGGTGTCTGGGTCTGGAGGAGACCAGGGTCCTTATTCCCAAGGTTTCTTGTGTGAGTCCAGGGGAGCCCTGGCTGTCTTCGGTGCTCAGTGCTGCTGAGTTGAACCAGGCTCTGTGGACCCAGGGGTTTCTAAAGCCTGTGGCTATATGCGAGCTGGAATGTCCACGTCTGGACACACTAGTTTTGTAGTTCAATAGACAGCATTCTCAGGCTCTTATTGGTCTCCCTGGACACTGAGGTGTGGTCAGGGAAAGGGGGAAATGTCACCTCTGCTCTGCCTAGCAGGGATGAGTGAGTGACTACCCAGATGGTCTACTTGGGGCAGCTCTCCCCAAGCAGGGCCAGAGACCACGGGCAGAATGGAACCATGGGGCATACGGATGAGAGCCACCTAGCTTGAGTCTTCAACGTGGTCTCAGAAAGTCAACCCCTCTCTGTACCTGAGTTCTGCCAACTGCAAAAGGGAGGTATGTGGTATTTAGTAAGTTGAAGATAAGATTTGGTGTAAAATGTGTGACTCAGAGGTTGGCATATTGGAAACTCCTGACTGGGAAGACTCAGTCACGATGCATCGGGCGGACGGGAGGGAGGCTCGTATTGCACAAGCACCTGGGAAGCAGACGCAGCCCCCAGGCTCTTGCAAGAGAGCCTTCAGGAGGTCATGAATCCAAGTGTCTTCAAGCTGCTCGCCTGCCTACTCTCTATGACTGAGCTTGTATAAGCCCCACAGCTGCCTGCTGAACTGTATTGGTCGGGTGCCAGAGCCCATTCTTCCTGTTAGTGGTCGTGGAAGATGCTGAAAACGCACGTGACCCACCGAGAGGCTGTCTCACCCCCGGCCAAATCTGTAAACTGGCGCCTGCTCTGGCCTGCAACCTTCATCCTAGCTTCACCCCTCCTGCTCCCTGCCGCCCGCTTCCGTTTGTGCTCAGTGCCTGTCTCTTGGCCCAGTTGGAAACGGTTAGCCCTGGAAAGGCAGTGGAGCCACCTTTGTCAGGTAGAAACCCAGATAAGACCATCGCAACCCATCAGTACGGGGGCGAGGCTGTAAGCCTGCCACTGGCCCGGTGCATGATCCAGGACAAACTTGGCCCTCTCTGTGCCCAAGGATGGGTCTTGACCAGCTGGAGATCCGCGTCTGGTTCTGGATGGAGTGGATGGGCTCTTGTTCCCCCCCCCCCCCCCAGGCTGCAGGGATGTTTGCGACGGAGGCGGCCACCAGGGCGGGGAGGAACTGGGCCCGCCCCGCGTGAGACGTCCAGGTACTGCCACCTGAGAGTCCCTGCCACAGCCGTCACCGCGAGGGGCCGCCAGCGCCCCTGTCCCAGCCAGCCTGCGCCTATGGCCTCCTTGACCACCTGGAAGAGGGCGGCATCCAGGAAAAAAGACTGCAGGTACAGGGCGGGCGGGCGGGAACTCCGCGAGGGCCGTGAGTGCCGACGGGAGGGACAGCTAGGGAGCGGGTTGGAGACAGCGAGTCACTGCTGAGCTTGGGGCTAACTGCTGCCCTAGGGCCGCCCAGGGCCTCCTGCGTCCCCACTTGCTCCCTGCTCACCTGCACTAGCCTGGAGCCGGTTGGGTCTAAGGATAAAGGGTTGCGTCTCACACCACTTAAGCCTAGCTGCTAGTGTCCCTGAGCGGGCCCTTGGGGCTTGCAGGAAGGAGGACAATGACAGCCCTGTGCCCCACCTCCCCGCACAAGTTCATCATCCTCTTGGGTTGAGAGGGGCATCCTGATCCCCAGCCCCAGTTCGGAAAGATGTGCGCCAAAGTTCCTCCACGTTCAACCCTGCAGGGATGCATCATTGCCCTCTTCTGGGTGTCACTTCCCCAGCTTCCCCCAGATCTTGACCGAGCTGGTGCCTTCCGGTGTGTTTGCTATCAGAAGGACCAGTCCTGACCTGATCTTCTCACAAGTCCTGCACCCTTGCGCAGCTGCTGCTCACGCTGCTGTCTTCCGTCCGCCCGTCTGTCCTAAACCCCCCTAACTTGACAAGCCCCAGTCTTAATTCTACATCTTCACCCCCAAACCTGTTCCTCATCCCACATCCCCGTCTCAGCGAATGACACAGTCATCCACTGAGTTGCCCAAGCCTGACACCTGGGAGTCATCACTGACCCCTCCCTCCTCATCCCTTCCCTAGTCTCTGCATCCTGCTGATTCTATCTCCAGGATGTCCAGGACTCTGCTAGACTGTTGCAGCAGCCCCTGGCTCTCCCCGTGTCTTCGGTCCTCCCCCTGCACGCATCCTTCTTAAGTACAAACCAGATGCACCTGTTTTCTACTTAAAGCCTCTTCAAGGGCTAGGCGTATAGTTTACCTAGCATGCAAGGTCCAGGACCTGGTGAGTTCAGGTTTGAAACTGGCCTGGATTATATAAGTCTCTGTCTAGAAAGCAAGCAAGCACTCCCACCACAGCCTGTGGCGGCTCATCTGGAAACTGAGGTAGTGGCTGCTGCCCTTGTAGCACTCCTGTTGGGCTGCAGTTGCTCAGCTCTGCCTGGAAGACAATCTCTCCACTCTTCGACACTTTATAAAACTCAGTTGAGGTATCCTCTTTAAAAATTTCATCTGAGCCGGGCAGTGGCAGCACATGCCTTTAATTCTAGCACTCAGGAGGCACAGACAGGTGGATCTCTGTGAGTCCGAGATCAGCTTGGTTTACAGAGTGAGTTCCGGGACAGTTGGAACTGTACAACAGAGAAATCCTGTCTTAAAAAAAAAAAAAAAAAAAAAAAAACAATAAGGAAATGCCATCTGATCCATGTGGTGGTGGTGCATGCTTTTAATCCCAGCACTCAGGAGGCAGAGACAGGCAGATCTGAGTTCGAGGCCAGCCTGGTCTACAGAGAGAGTTCCAAGGACAGGCTCCAAAACCTACAGATAAACCCTGTGTTGGACAAAAAACAAAAAACACCAGAGTCACCATCTTTTTAAAATTAATTTATATTGTATTTATTTATTGGGGAGTTAAACATGTACATGCCACAGTACACCTGCGGAGGTCAGAAGACCATGTGGGTCCCAGGGGGAGAAGTCAGGTCAGCTTGACTGTGCCCATGCAGACGCCTGTGCCCATGGAGCCATCTGTCGGCTCTGAGTCTTCAGGTCCAAGACGCACCTTTTGCTCTCTATGGTTCTCACTCAGTCTCTCAGTACACTCTGCGGATTGCTTGCCTTGTTTTAAGCATTGTGTGAGGCACTGTGGCCACAGTTTGAGTTCAGACACAGAGGCGTCTGCTCTTGGAGACCATATTCTCATAAAAGACACCAACATAAACAAAAGCAGACCGAGGGACATCAGAAATAGGCACTGCGTAAAATTTTCAATAAGATGATGGATGTGGGCTGGAGAGATGGCTCAGCGGTTAAGAGCATTGCCTGCTCTTCCAGAGGTCCTGAGTTCAATTCCTGACAACCACATGGTGGCTCACAACCATCTGTAGTGAGGTCTGGTGCCCTCTTCTGGCCTGCAGGCATACACACAGACAACATAATAAATAAAAAAAATATTTTTAAAAAGATGATGGATGCATCATAAAAATGGAGTATGCTCAGAGCCTCCCAGAGTGAGAACAGGTTCGTGTCAAAGCCCAAAGTATATCTGAGAAAGCAGAAAGGGGCTGGGAATCAAAGGTCCGGGAGCTCAGAGAAGTAGGTTGATTGCTGAGGAGGACAAGATGCCCCGACTGACATAAAGAAGCTGGGTCGTTCGTGTCTGGGAAGATTTCTCCCTGTCTAGGCTCCGCCAGTGAGAATGCAGCTGCTCTCTGACCTATGAATGCATATGAATGCATATTCATAGGATGCATGCATATTTCTTGTGTCATTGTGTGGAGAGACCAGAGGCAGGGAAACCGGAAGGGAGGCAGATTGATGACCTAGGAGAGGGAGGCTGTGCGGGGTGGGGGGGTGGGGGGGGGGGGGGGATGATTACAAGAATGGTGGGACTGGGAGAGAGAAAGTAAGCAGAAAGGGCAAAGATTTGGTAAAGCAGCAGACCACAGAGTCACTGAGATAAAGGGCAGGGCTCTGGTCAAGTAGATGCCTCTGTGTGAGTGGCCTGCCCTCCTGTGACTTCAGACTTCTGCAGTTGCTTGCAGACAGCACTGAGGCATGGCTGGTGTTGAGTAAAGGCAGGTTCACTTCCTTCTTGGTGGAGTGTTAGAAAATCTTCCGTCCTAGATCTTTTCCTTGAACAGAAGAGATTTGGACAATTTCAGGGGGTCAGAAGTGGCATTTTCCACAGGACTGTTAGGGAAATGAATGGGACCCGCCCTGGAGCCTGTACACCTTAACAGGGGCGTCGCCTCCTACCTGACCTGAAATCCACTCCTTAGCCCAGCCCAAACACAGCCGCCAGGTATGGCGTGTGCTGGGAAGAGGCCCTGCTCTTGGCAGAGCCCTCAGGGCCTGGGCTGCAAAGGTTTAATCTCATCCTTGGGCAGAGCTAGGGACGGTGGGGAGGCCACTGCTGAGGTTTTACTCATTTTTCTCAGATTCTTCAACTCGAGGTGACACCCAGGCTTGCGATTTAAGTCCCTAAGTTTCTATAGTGTTGACTATTTTCCTTCTGGGATTCCGACCTCCCACGATGCTCGGATAAGAGACTGAGAGGGACGTGCTCCGTGTGCGCCTCAGTCCCTGGTGACGTCATGAAAACCTTTCTGAGGAAGCTTTGTCCAGCCTTCTGAGGGCAGGAGGACAGAAACATGGGACAGTAGAGAGCTTTTTTTCTTTTTTCTTGGTTTCTCGAGACTGGGTTTCTCTATGTATCTTTGGCTGTCCTGGAACTAGCTTTGTAGACCAGGCTGGCCTGAAATTCACAGAGACCCGCCTGCCTCTGCCTCCCGAGTGCTGCAATTAAAGGTGTGTGCCACCACAAGAAATAGGTTTTTGGGGTCACAGCTTGAGATCTGCCAGTACTCCTGAAAGATACTCGTCACCTCACTTCAGTGGCAGCTCCTCTGTCTCCTAATGCTCATCTGATTCTTTCTGTAGCTCCCTGGCTACCAAGCCCTCAGACAGTGCCGGAAAGCAGCGTACCCAGAGACCGCACAGGCTTCTGGGAATCCTGACTTCGAGATAGCAAGTATGACTTTGGAGAGGGTGTTAGACCTCCTTTGCCTGTTTGTTTCGTTGCCCCGAGTTTTCATTTTGCTTTCAAGACAGGGTCTCATTGTGAGGCTCTCCCAGGAAGCCCCTGAACTTTCCGCAATCCTGCCGGGGCCCTCCGAGCGCTGGGGCTGCAGCGGGGTGACATCACCTCACCTGTCAAATGGAGGAGATGTCCTTGTTCAGCTCACGTTTAGGCGATCATGTGGGTGTAGTTTCTGGCACGCCTAGGAAAAACAATCTCAGGGAAAACGCCCCATCCCCTGGCTCTTAGAGCCTTTCTGTCCCCTCTTCCATGGTGTTCCCTGAGCCTTCGGTATGAGAGGAATCGTAGATGTATCCGCTGGGACTGGGCTCCACAGCTCTGCGTCTTGATTCTTTGCAGTTTTCTGTGGTGGTCTCCATCTGTTGCAAAGAGAGGTTTCCTTGATGAGGACAAATGTCGAATACAGTTAGGGATTATGCTGGTTTAGTAGAATGGTGGTTCTAGGTTCTCCGACATCCACGAAGCCCTGGGGAGCTGAAATGACAGTAGACATACTAATGTGGATGGGGGAAGTCCAGGAGGCCTCAGCCCTACACAGAAAACCAGGGGTGCTCAGGGATCTGGAGAACTAGCCTTCCCCAGGGAAGAGCACACCGATTAGTTATCCAATACCAGATGGTCAGCCCTGAAAATCATACATATGAGTAACATTATACAGACTGAGCAGGTTGTACTTATGCACTTAGGAATTTATATATATAATTACAATTAATAAAAAAAATTCATGAATTTGAAAGAGAGTAATGAGGGACTTATGGGAGTGTTTAGTGACTGCATTTGTATAAATCATGCCCGCTGGAATGGCTCCCAGGGCCCTTTGCTTTGTTTTGCATGTGTGTGTGTACCTGTGTGTGCAGGTGTGTACATGCACGTCTTTGGAGACCAAAAGTCAGCCTCAGGTGTCGTCCCTCAGCAGATGCCCTTCTTGTCTTTCACTGGGGCCTGGGGCTCCCTAAATAGACCAGGCTGGTGAGCTGGCCAGCCTGAGGAAGCGTCTTCCTGTCTCTGCCTCCACAGTGCATGCCACCAGGCCTGACTGTTATTACTGTCATTATCATTATTATACTTGTATGTGTGTATGTGTGTCACTCATGCTTCTGGAGGTCTGAGGACAACTTTCTGAACCTGGTTCTTCCTTTCCACTGTACATCATGGTGATTGATTGAGCTCAGGTTGGTTCGATGATTGGCTTTTGCATTTTAAGGGGGTTCCGTGTTTCTAGGGAGATGGCT